TCGGAACTTCATTCCTTTCTTACATCTTCTCATGTACACGACATTGGTTTTCATGGTCCCCCTTTTACGTGGACAAATTGTCGTTCCTCTGATCACATTATGGAGAGTCTAGATCACTGCCTAGCTTCTTCGCAAGCTCTCAATTGTTGGACAAGTATGATGGTTCATCACTTATCTGATCTTGGTTCTGACCATCGCATGCTTCTTTTACAGTTACATCCTTCTGCAGCACGTACTAGGGCCAATTTCCACTTTGACAGTCGTTGGATTGATAATCAAGAAGCTTTCAATATCCTGGTGGAATAATGGGGACATCCGCTCATGGGCTCATTTCAATTTCAGCTGCATTCTATCCTAAAAACGTCTAGACATCATCTGTTCTCCTGGGCTTCAAAGGGCACGTCTAACTCTGCTCGTGCCATTCGTGAACTTCAGGATGCGATTGAGTCAGAACGTAATCTTCATACGTGGATTGGTCCAAAGTTACATTTCTAGAACGTCAGCTCGCTGAAGCATATGTCTAGGAGGAACGGTATTGGCAACAGAAGTCACGGGTCTTTTTGGCTACTGAGGGTGATTCCAACACTCGATTCTTTCATCTTACTACTCTTCAGAGGCGCCGCTTGAATTGTATTTTAGTCCTCCTGGAATAATGGGGACATCCGCTCATGGGCTCATTTCAATTTCAGCTGCATTCTGTCCTAAAAACGTCTACACATCATCTGTTCTCCTGGGCTTCAAAGGGCACGTCTAACTCTGCTCGTGCCATTCGTGAACTTCAGGATGCGTTTGAGTCAGAACGTAATCTTCGTAACGTGGATTGGTCCAAAGTTACATTTCTAGAACGTCAGCTCGCTGAAGCATATGTCTAGGAGGAACGGTATTGGCAACAGAAGTCACGGGTCTTTTGGCTACTGAGGGTGATTCCAACACTCGATTCTTTCATCTTACTACTCTTCAGAGGCGCCGCTCGAATTGTATTTTAGTCCTCCGGGATGAGGCAGGCACTTCTTTCCATGACGAAGATTCCAAAGGTATGATTGCGGTCCATTACTTTGCCCATCAATTCACCTCGGAAGCTGTGCAGGTTAGCTCCTTTGTGGACCAGTTGATGCTTCCGACTATGGTCACCTCCTAAATGAATTCCTCACTCATCCGTTTGGTAACAAGTGATGAAGTGCGTGATGTTGCGTTTAGTATTGGACATCTCCAAGCACCGGGTTCCGATGGTTTTACTGGTTTGTTCTTTCAATCTTATTGGAATTTGTGGGTGATTTTGTTGTAGCAGCTGTCTTGGAGTTTTTTAGCTCTTGCCATCTTCTCCATAATTTGAACCATACCTGGATTTCTTTGCTTCCTAAGGTCCCAAATGCGGATACCATGAGGCAAATGAGGCCGATTAGTTTGTGTTAAGTTCCATACAAAATTATTTCTAAGATTCTGACTGCTCGGCTCGGGGATGTGTTACCCCATGTGATTGGCCCTTGCCAAAATGGTTTGTGTCAACATTCTGTTAGGTCAGGAGGTTATGCGATCCTTCAAAATAAAAGTTCAGGGACACGAGAAATGGATGACCCTTAAATTAGACATGGAAAAGGCTTATGACAGGGTGGAATGAGGATTTCTTTTTGCCATTATGCGGAAACTTGGTTTTGCAGAGCGGTGGTTACAATGGATTTGGGCTTGTGTTTCGACTGTCTCCTTTTCTGTTCTTCTCAACGGCTCGCCACATGGATACTTCCAGCCTCAGCGTGGCATCCGTCAGGGTGACCCCCTTTCCCCTTTACTCTTGCCCTTTTTGCTGAAGGATTATCTGCATTGATTAATCAAGCCGTCGAGAACAATTTTCTTCATGGTTTTAGGATTCATCGTCGCTGCCCGGTCTTGTCTCACCTCTTCTTTGCTAATGATGCTTAACTATTTCTTCATGCTTCCCTTTCGGAATGTCAAAATTTTTATCATTACTTGATTCTTATCAACAGGTGAGTGGTCAAAAAAGTTAATTTGCAGAAATCTACCATCTCGTTCAGTGCCAATGTCACCCAAGGCAAGGCTCAAGGCATCATATCTGCTTTGGGAGTCACTTCAAGTGGTGATAATGATCTCTATCTTGGCCTTCCCATCCGGATATCTCATTTGAAACAGGATTCCTTCCGGTATATTGAAGATAACCTGCTTCAGAAAATTCAATGATGGAAGTCCCAATCCATATCTTTGGCCGCTAAGGAAACAGTTCTCAAATAAGTTGGTTTTTCCTCTCCTAATTATGTTATGTCCAGTTTTCATATCCCATCAACCTTTTGTCGCAGGCTCAATGGGAATTTGGCTCGATGCTGGTGGGATTCCCAGGACAAGGAGAATGATATGCGATGGGCATCCTGACGTGAACTCTGACGGCCAAAGGCTGAGGGAGGACTAGGTTTTCGGGACCTAGATAGTCACAATATTGACCTCCTAACGAAGCAGGCTTGGCGGATTGTCCAAAATCCGGATGGTCTCTTAGCCATCAACTATAAAGGCAGGTATTTTCCTCACTCTTCCTTTCTACTTGCTCCTCAGGGTTCTAGGCCTTCTTGGGCTTGACAAGGTATCCTTGTGGGTCGCTCTCTTCTGCAATCCGGTCTTTGTTGGCGCATTGGTTCGGGTGCTTCGGTTCGGATATTGGAAGACCCATGGCTGCCAACGACTCCTCCATCTCAACCTGTTCTCCTTCTTAACGTCTCTTTACCTGGGCCCCATGTATCTTCTTTGATCGATCAAGGATCCGGTAGTTGGAAGGTACCTCTCATTTCCTCTCTATTTGTTGGGGAAACGGTCAGAGTTATCAGATCTATTCCTCTTCCTATTTTTCCCGTGTCTGATCGTCTTGTGTGGCACTATGAGAAATCAGGTGAGTTCTCTGTTAAATCAGGATATAGAGTGTGCTCTGCTGAGTATATTCATAACCCTTCCACTATTCCCCCGATCTTTGATTCTTCGGCTTGGAATTTGTTGTGGTCCTTGAATGTTCCTCCTAAATTACGATTTTTTCTCTAGCGTGTCATTAAAGGATATCTTCCCTTGAGAGATATTCTTAGAGAGAAAGAACTAATTGATGATGAGGATTTGGAGGCGGTTAAGTGCCCTGTTTGTGAAGAAGCTCCAGAGACCCTATTGCATTCTTTTCTGCACTGTAGGGTGGTTGTGGACTTTTGGAACCTTGTTGGTCTTAATCATTTTCGCTTATAGGTTTACAATATGCATGTGTCCGTGGGTTGACGGTGGTTCTTTTTTCATGCAGGTTTATCCAAGGATGTGCTAGGCCGGCTAGTCTTTGCGTACTGGCTCATTTGGAAGGCTCGGTGTTCCACTACTTATGATCACGTTCAATTCCTCCCAACCACCATGGTGCGACATTTCCAAACTCAAGTAGATGAATGGTCCTTTACTCAAGCAGCTTTGGCCTCATCCAATGATCGTCGTGCTTCTGTTCCTCCTGGGATTCGCGGTCACACTCCACCACCAATTACGTTGGGGACTTTCCTCGTCCATTTTGATAGCGCTACGAAAACCAGTATTGGGGGAGGAATTGGCTTCGTTGGGTTCCTAGGACCAACGACCATTCACTTTGCATTTGGGAAATTTTACGACTATATGGATGACGCTTTCATCATTGAGCTCATGGCACTCTGGGATGCTCTCCGGTGGTGTCTTTCTAATTCGATTTCTAATGTCTCATTCTGTGGTGACGCGCATGAGCTCATTCAAATGATTAATTGTAAGGATTCAAGCCATGTTTTGGGTGGTAGCCTCCTTTCAGAGATTCAGGTGCTTCGTGTCTCCATGCAGCGTGTATCGTTCCACTTCGCTCCGCATAAGTACAATAGGGCTGCCCATATCGTGTCGAAAAAAGCCCTCTCATCGTTGGATCGTCGGTTGGTCGACCAGTGGCTCTTCCTTATTTCCTCTTTGTAATTAACCTGTAAAGGTCCTTTTATTATGCCGTATCTGCTGTAATCCCTTTCAGGATATCTTTGAAAAAAAAATATATATACACCTTTGCGGGGAAAAAAAAATCCAAATCTCAACCAACATCTCTTTCTCATTAAGGATTCCAAGGAATAACCTGTTTCAAGCAGAGCAATTTCTATCTCTTTTTCAACAACACTATAAATAGTTGATAACTGTATATAGAGAAGTACATTAGATACGTGGATTAGAGAAAAAATCGTTTTGAACCATTAGAATAGGGGAAAAAATCGTTTTGGGTATAAGTAGTAAGTACATCACATAAGTAAATACGTGGATTAGAGATATATCTGTGTATATATTAAATAAACACTATTATTACCTAACTATCGCTTCAAATATGTCCAACGGCAAGAAAATTACATTCCAATGGGCAATAACCTCACATAGTGTCTAATACACACCCAGCAAATCACGCATCATAGCCTATTATCTTTAATTTTATGTGTCAATTTGCAGCTCCTAGCTCTAAATTGGACATTTAACTTTGTTTCCTTCTAACACAAGGTCTTATGTAAACTACTTTGATACATTTTGTTACGTGACAATCCAAGTATCACATTGGTCATACAAGAGAAGATGCGCTTACATAAATATCCACCAAACTCATTAGTACAAGGCCTTTCCGGAAGGAACCAAAAAGTAAATCCTTGCGAGATTGGCCCAGAGAGGACAATATCGTACTAATGGAGCTAACCGGTTCTAGCAAGTGGTATCAAAGCCTGGTTTGGTGCGGCATGGTGAACGTTAGTTTGGTGGAACCCTTACAGTGGATCAATGGAGGTCTATTCAGTGGACCAATGGAGAAGTAATCAGAATTTGAGATTTGTGTTTGTTTGGCGGATCAATAGAGGTCTATTCAGTGGACCAATGAAGTTAAAATCGCGTTTTAAAACTTCAAAACTTACAGTTTTACGCTTTTAAGTCACCAAAACGCTTTCGTTTCCATATAAAATCGTTAGTGTATAAAATCAAACTAAATTGCGCTTTAAAGCTTACGATTTTACGCTTCTAGTTCACCAAATCGTTTTACGCTTTTACGCTTTTAGTTCACCAAATGGGTATTCTTTTCATGAAATTAATTTATAAAAAGTATATTTTAAAGGTAAATCGCCAACAATATGATACATTTGATATTAAAAGATACATACCAGGTACTTGGATTCATTCTCAGCTTCAATATAGTAATCTAATTCACTAGCTAGGCCCTTACCAAATTCATTAGCATAGAGGGAAAGGTGGCTTATTGTTAAGATCTATGTTTATGAACTTATTGTTAAGATGCTATGAGTTGCTCTACTTTAGACATGAATTGTAGGTATTTATTAACTTATCTAAATTCTGTGCACTCATATTTTACATAGTATATGTCGTACTTAACAAATTTTTAGATATCGCCGATGGTAGGACATAAAGTTCGTGGTCCTTGTCTTGAGGGGATGATTTTTATGGGACAATCCAATTACCACATCGGTAAATAGGGTTGGGAATCCAGACCAAACCGTATGGGAAACCGCGGTCTAGTGATAGACCGTTAATTACACATGTTTTTACCCCTGTTCTTACACCGTTTGAGGTGTTGATTCTCGTGTTTTAGGCCGATCACACTAGGTTGTGCTTGTTTGTCATATTTCAGGTCCTAGTACGTGAATGGAGGCTTGGGAGCGAGTTTGGGGGCAATTGAACGAGAATCGGACGCGTGGCGAGGTGCTAAGGAAGCTGCACGGGCATTCCTGGAAACCACACGGCCGTGCAACTCACAATTGTGGCCGTGTGGTTTTTGTCGAGAGCATGCACGGGCAGGATGGAGACACCGCACGGCCGTGCGACCCTGGCCGTGTGGGAAGCCTGAGTTCGAACTAATTGGAATGCAGCGTTTTGACTCGCACGGGCAACTGGGTGAGCCACACGGCCGTGTGGCCTGCCCGTGCGAGTCGGGAAATCTTGGTTTTTCAGCCAATTTCGAGCCACAAGGGGGAGAATCGAACTTTTTAAGCAAAAACAGAGCCCTAGAGAGAGAAAGTACGAAGAACACATCCTAGAAGCTATCTTGGAGCTGGGTTTCATCGAATCGAGCTTGGAGATCGTCCTAAGAGTGGAAATCATCATCCCGGAGCAGATTTTCCTCATCTTTATGAGTATGACTACTCCGATTACTGTTTTCTTTTCTCTTCTCTATGGAGTAACTTCCCTTCACTTAGGTTTTGAGGAACCCTAGCTATGTTTGTTTGATTGGATGATTGTATGAGTACTCTCACTTGATAATCTTGAGTTCATATTCAATCTATGCATGTTTTCATGATTCAATTATGCTTTAGTCGAGATTATTGATTCTGCTTTGATCCTATGAGAGGGAATACCTGATTAGGTCAATAAAGCACCATAGATTGATAGTAGTGGATCGATTGCTTTAGTCGAGGGTTGATTTACTACTTTGTATCGATTGAGAACCTCTTTCGATAGAGGGAGTCTAGTTCAGAACGCCTTGATCAGTTGTTCTAGGGCTGGAGGTTCGGTTATCAGTTACCGGTTAACCGGCCGGTTAAACCGATAACCGGTCGGTTAAACCGATAACCGGCGGTTACCGGTTAACCGATAACCGAAAATTATATGCTTCGGTCGGTGGTCGGAGCTCCTAATAGGTAATTCGGTTAACCGAGTAACCGAAAACCGGTTATTCGGTTAACCGATAATAACCGAAAATAACCGACCGACCACCCCCCTCACCAAAACGATGTGAAAATACCCGGTATGAAGTTTATAATTTTATGTTGTTGAATTTGAGACATTAATTTGGTGATTTAGATGTAAAAATGTAAGTTAGAACCTTTCATTTTAAGAAATTCTAATAATTTTACCTGGTTAAAACCGGATCACCATCATTTTTTCGGTTATCTCGGTTAACCGACCAACTAACCGATAACCGACCGGTCGGTTATTGGTTAACCGAGGCATTGACGTCTGCCGGTGTTCGGTAGGGGGAGATGGTGGTTCGGTTAAGCGGTAACCGATCAATCGGTTATCGGTTATAACCGAACCGAACCGAATCCACCCCTAAGTTGTTCTAGAGAAGGATACGTCCCTCTAGGCAATTGAGTCAAGAGGGCCTTGTTCCTTTAGTCGAGACTCAAGGTCTAATCAAGGATTCTCCGCATTGTGAATGAAAGTGAAACAAGTTAGAAATCATCAATCGTTAGTCTGGCTAGTGGCTAGGGGGAATCATACCTAAGTGAGTTCCCAACCTGTAATTAGATTAACTTTAACTGTAGTTTGCTAGAGTAGTTTTAGTTCTTTCATCTTAATCTGGTTTGCTAAATAATAAACTGAAGCTGAGTAATAGTAACTCTAGAGACCCGTGGATTCGATATTTATCACTTGAGCCACTATACTGCAGTCCCTACAGTAACACCTACAATGAGGGGTGGCGCCAGCATCCCAATTTCTCCTGGGGTGGGGCAAATTCCAGACCACCAGTCCCCCAGGGACCACCGGGATTCCAGAGGCCACCATATCAGCCCAGACAGGGGCAATTCCAGCAGCAGCAGTCTCTCTACCAGCCCATGCAGGGGCATGCTGCTCCATCACAGCCGCGACCTTTCCAGCAGCCAGGTGCAGCCCCTGCCGCCCCAGTGCAGAATGATCAGATGGCTGAACTGCGGGAATTGGTGGGTTCTCTCGCCAGTTCTAGTGCTCCCACCTTGGCCATCCGAGTATTCACTCGCTTGCATCCTGCCCGATGGCCAAGTTGAGTTGGCAAATGATGGTGGCCACATTCGGCGTGTGCATGGCCACCATTTGAAGTTGTAGCTCAAGAGCGAGGTGGATCCGCTCTTGAAGGCACCTGTTCCTTCACCTCACTGAGCATCCACCGACTGGCGTCCAGCTAAAAGACGGTAAAGAAGCGCTTGTGGGGAGGCAACCCCACCTAGGTTTGCATTTTCTTACCTTTTTCTTTTTGATTTTTTGTGTTTTTTGAGTCTTGAGATGTTGTTCCAGAGTCGAGTGTCATTTTTGGGTGAAAACAGGCTGAATTCGGGCCTCCAGCAGCTCGCACGGCCAGGCCATACTCTCGCACGGCCGTGTGGATATTATCCCCTGGCCGTGTGAGCCCTCGACAATTTCCACACGGCCAAAAGTGCAAATTCGCACGGCCGTGTGGCCGACACGGGCAACTCGTCTGCTCGCATGGCCGTGTGGATATTATCCCCTGGCCGTGCGAGCTCTCGACAAATTCCACACGGCCAAAAGTGCAACTGGCACGTCCGTGTGGTATTCCTCGCCCTGCCCGTGTCGACCAACACGGGCAAACTCGCACCTCGCACGGCCGTGCAGCCTCACCCGTGCGGCCGAGCCACGACCTATATATTCGGCCAGCACGGCCGCGTGGTCATAATTTTGACAAACCCTCGCCGGAATCCTCTGAATCTCGCCGGAAAACCGCGCCAAAACCCTCTTTTTTGATTTTTTCGGCCATTTTTTGTCATCTTTTCACCAAACCAACAACAAACCCACCCTTCCTCCACCAAAAGCGGCCTATCCCTCCATTTTGAGGAGATTTGGCCGACGTTTTTGTCGCCGGAGGCGATTTCCGGCGAGACTCCGGCGAGGCTCTGACGAGCACTTCCGGGCACTTTTTCGGCTTTTCGTCGCTTCCATCGCCTTCCCCTCATCATCCCCTACACCTCTACTTGAGTCTCCAGGTTTGATTTTGCCCTTAACTATGTTAATTGTGGAGAATTGGGTGTTAGGGTGCATGTTTAGAGAACCTCATTTAATCTTGTGATTTTCATGCAATTGATTGAGGGGAATGCATGGAGTGTGTTTGAATTGTGTTGGGTAAAGTCCCTCTTGATTGTTTGAGCCCTTGTGTGCAAGAATTTTGCAAATTTCATGCTTACCTTAATAGTGCACACAAGGTGTTCGATGAAATGCCTGTTTTCGTACCATTTTGTGGGGGTCGGTTGGGGCCCTTAATGATGTGCTTTGACGGTGTATTTGGTATGAATGTGAACCTTAAATTGCCTACTTGTTCATGGATGTGCACCCCCACTCAGATTATGCTTGATTTATCGAGTTTCTGATCCCCGAACCATGGATGAAACCATGGTTAGGCTGTTTTTCTGTTCTCAAGTGTGGGGGTGTGATTAACATTTTCTTTGGCTCTTTTGGTTCCACTTTGGGTTGTTCTTTTGCAGGACAATGTCGAAACCTGACCTAAAGCACCCGTTCATCCGGGATTTGAAGAGGGGGCCCGCCCAGGATCGCTTCAAGCAGGTCTTGAAATGCCCGTTTGGGCAGCACCATTGCTGGTCCAAACGGGAGTTTCAGACATTGCATTGCTACGAGCAACTCTCCGCCGCCGTCACCAACCGCCCATGGCGCCGTCTGCTCTCCATCTGCGAGAAGGTTTACTATGAGCCTGTGCTTGAGTTCTACACGACCTTCAAGCACACACCCACGGACGACTGGAGAGACGGGGCAGCCGTCAAATTCAGGCTAGGCGGTGCCCCACGGTCCTTGAGATACCACGAGCTGGCCGAGGCTCTCGACGTCGACCTCGACGACAGTCTGGACTACTTCACCGAGGTCAGCGACCCGCCGGAGGTGGACTTCAGGAGGCTGTACACCCGCCTGGCTCGGCCAGGCCAGACACGTCCCTTCTCGGCCGGGAGGACGAAGACAACTACACTGCAGCTCGAAAACCGCCTTCTCCACCACCTGCTGGCGAAGTCTTATACTCCAGCTTCAGACAGTGCCAGCGCCATCACTAGGAGGGCCCTGTACCTCCTCCAATCGATCCGCCAGGACGACCATCCCCTCCACTTGGGTTCGGTGGTGGCCAGGACCTTCGAGAAGACTGCTTCGGAACTGAAGAGTCTCCACTGCACCCCCCTCATCACCCGCCTGGCCACCTACTTCGGCCTTTCCCTACAGGGGTGCACACAGCAGGGGGACACCATCGTTTTTGGCAGGTCCACGATCAGTCACATGCACCTGCTGCGACAGAAGCGCGGCATTCTATGGATCGAGGGGTTTCCGGAACCTCAGATCCCCGCGGAGGACCAGCCAGAGGGCCAGGGGGATGAGGCTGCTGCTCATGTGGAGCCCGAGGATGTGGACGCTGCTGTTGATCCACCACAGACTCACTTCCATTACGGAGGTGGCAGCTCTGCTTTCCCGGGCCAGGACTACTTCACCTCCCAGTTCGAGCAGCTGCGTCTCCAGAACCAGCAGATCCTCGACCATCAGATGCAGTTCTAGCAGCAGTACGCGGCTCACCAGGCCGCGTACCACCAGAGGATGGCTGCTTACGATGAGAGATTGGACCAGCTCCAGACCCAGCAGGGAGTGACTCTCGCACACATCGAGCGGGAGAGGCGCCGCTCTCGGCGCATGCAGGAGGTACAGGGGCATCTGCTCCAGCTGCTACCGGGCGAGCAGCCAGTCTGGAGGAATCCCTGGGAGGACTCTCCACTTCCACCTCCCCCAGCTGATGATGATGATGGTGCTGATGGTGATGACGCCTTCATGGACGACATCGACCTGGATAATCTTGGCGACGAGTAGGCTGTACTCGTTGCCCATCTCAGTGTGTTTTGTTTTTCGTTTTAGACTTGTGTGTGTTTGCTCCATGTGTGAGGAGCTTGAACTTAGTGTCGTTTGTTTTTGTTTTCGGTTTTCTTTTGTGGATTGTTTTTGCATTAGCCGTCTGGGCTAACACTTATCCCTAACACCCAGTGTGCTAGTGTGTTCTTGTGTTCGATTCGTGCAGAACTGTCCATCTTCCCGTTTGTTTCTCGCTGACTGGTCCACTTCCAGTCCCCCAGCAGTTTCAATCCGGTAACATCGTTCCCCTTCTCTATCCCTCTGCTCCATTGAGGGCAATGTCGTGCTTAAGTGTGGGGGGGGGGGGGGGTGCTTTGTATCGGTTGGAATGTATATATGTGTGCTTGGAGCCTAGTCCACTGTCCAAATCTCGAGATTTGAGGGCTCCAAGTACTGCTGTTTGATCATATTGGCACTGTGTTTTGATTGATGAATTGAATGGTTTTCGGATTGATGCATGACAGCTTGATGTGACTAGGACAACCTATGATGAGGACTAAGACGTGCAGTAGAGTTGTGTAGGGGTTCAGTTTTTCAACTGTTTGCTTACCAACTGTGACTTGGATTGATTACTTGTTCTTGACAGTCTCTTATGCATCTAGTTCAGGGTATCAGAATGTGAGATAGAGCATATAGGTAGCCATGTGAGATTTGAGCTTTCTCGTTTCTTTCTTGTGCGATAGATCCCTCTTCCATGATGTGTAGCATTCACGTTGTCACTAGCTAAGATGATGGGGGCATAGGATTAGCCCACGACCAAATTTGACTGTCCTGATGTGTCATATCCCCTAGTCAGCCCTTTTGAGCCGTGTGTTATCCTTTCTTTTGGTCTGAAATGAAAAAAAATCACCTTGTTTACATCTTTTAGAAGGTTCCACAGAGTGGTTTTTACATATTCTCTGCTGTTTCTGCTAAATTTGATGTGAGTGTTGGAGGTAGTGCTTAAAAGTTGAGCTGGGCAGGTGTTTGAAATATATGCAGAAGTGGTGGCTCTCTTAAGAAATGCAAAGAAAATGAAAGAAAAACAAAGAAAAATTGAAAGCAAAGAGAGCCACTACCAAAAATCTGAATAATGCCCAGTAAGTAGTGTTTCTTAGCAGTCTGGCTTGGAAATGCTGACATTTATACCTCCTTCGCTCTTGTGCTCTTGAGATATTGAGTAATGCAGAATAGCAGAAAGGAAATACCGGTTTGTTTGACTGTGATTGTTTGGGTTTGGAAATGTGGAACCTTGTGCTATGAATACTTCCACCACCTAAAAGGCCTTTTCCCCATGTCAAAGACCCTAGCCAGTCATTTGAACCTGTGTCTAAGACCTCCTGATTAGTTAGTGGTGACACCCCATATGTGAACTCTAGCATTTAGAGGCTGCCATCATGGTGAAGAGATGTTAGGGATTGAGAGAAATAACATGCGCATTTTTCGCATCAAATTGTCCTGACCCCACTGGTCGAGAGTGAGTGATTCATTTTTCATTTCTATATACTCGTGTACCCCGGTGAGGACCTAGATTGCTCGGTCTCTATTCTGATGTCTTGAGTTGGATGCATGAGTTGACTGTTTTGAGTAAGTGGTTGAGTCAAGTCTAGGTTGGTTGGTGAACATAAGGGAGACTCTTCCTTTGCTCGATTTTGCTGCACTCGAATGTCCTTTGTGGTGGTTGTCCAGGTTGCTGTTTAAGTTGGTCAGGTATTGATGTTTGAAAACCAGTACGATTCACGTGTTCTGTGCCTTTATGACTTGTCCCCAATGTTGGTTGATTGAAATATGTGAGCTTAGCTTGTGTCTGACTTGGTTTTCTTGGGGACAAGCAAACGGTTAAGTGTGGGGGAGTTTGATAGACCGTTAATTACACATGTTTTTACCCCTGTTCTTACACCGTTTGAGGTGTTGATTCTCGTGTTTTAGGCCGATTTCACGCTAGGTTGTGGTTGTTTGTCATATTTCAGGTCCTAGTACGTGAATGGAGGCTTGGGAGCGAGTTTGGGGGCGATTGTACGAGAATCGGACGCGTGGCGAGGTGCTAAGGAAGCTGCACGGGCATTCCTGGAAACCACACGGTCGTGCAACTCACAATTGTGGCCGTGTGGTTTTTGTCGAGAGCATGCACGGGCAGGATGGAGACACCGCACGGCCGTGCGACCCTGGCCGTGTGGGAAGCCCGAGTTCGAATTAATTGGAACGCAGCGTTTTGACTCGCACGGGCAACTGGGTGAGCCACACGGCCGTGTGGCCTGCCCGTGCGAGTCGGGAAATCTTGGTTTTTCAGCCAATTTCGAGCCACAAGGGGGAGAATCGGACTTTTTAAGCAAAAACAGAGCCCTAGAGAGAGAAAGTACGAAGAACACATCCTAGAAGCTATCTTGGAGCTGGGTTTCATCGAATCGAGCTTGGAGATCGTCCTAGGAGTGGAAATCATCATCCCGGAGCAGATTTTCCTCATCTTTATGAGTATGACTACTCCGATTACTGTTTTCTTTTCTCTTCTCTATGGAGTAACTTCCCTTCACTTAGGTTTTGAGGAACCCTAGCTATGTTTGTTTGATTGGATGATTGTATGAGTACTCTGACTTGATAATCTTGAGTTCATATTCAATCTATGCATGTTTTCATGATTCAATTCTGCTTTAGTCGAGATTATTGATTCTGCTTTGATCCTATGAGAGGGAATACCTGATTAGGTCAATAGAGCACCATATATTGATAGTAGTGGATCGATTGCTTTAGTCGAGGGTTGATTCACTGCTTTGTATGGATTGAGAACCTCTTTCGATAGAGGGAGTCTAGTTCAGAACGCCTTGATCAGTTGTTCTAGAGAAGGATACGTCCCTCTAGGCAATTGACTCAAGAGGGCCTTGTTCCTTTAGTCGAGACTCAAGGTCTAATCAAGGATTCTCCGCATTGTGAATGAAAATGAAACAAGTTAGAAATCATCAATCGTTAGTCTGGCTAGTGGCTAGGGGGAATCATCTCTAAGTGAGTTCCCAACCTGTAATTAGATTAACTTTAACTCTAGTTTGCTAGAGTAGTTTTAGTTCTTTCATCTTAATCTGGTTTGCTAAATAATAAACTGAAGCTGAGTAATAGTAACTCTAGAGACCCGTGGATTCGATATTTATCACTTGAGCCACTATACTGCAGTCCCTTCCATTGGTTACACTTGGCCATTGTTAGGTGTTGTGTCATAGCGAGTCATCTAGACTGTATCGTATGGTTTGGTCTGGACCGGGAGACCAGAACTATGGTCTGGTCTGGTTTGCGATCTCCTCCTTTAGTGCGTGGTCTGAAGTGGTCTGGACCGCGGTCTACCGCAGTAAACCGTAACAGACCACGACACACTACCTACTACCTTGGACAAAAATAACACTAAATTGAACCTCCATATGTGTATTTGAAGAACAAAGTTAGTTGATTCTTCATCTAGTTGAGAGCCAACAAATTGCAAAATGATTGCTTATATGTTATCTCCTTATCAAAGTCCCACACAAAAATTAGAAATACTCATAAATAATATTCACAGATAATGTCTAGACTATGGAGTCAATAAAAATTAAACACTACAAAAAAATTCGTTCACCTTGATGAGATATGGAAAGTTATTGAGAGATATGCGACCATCTTAGTGGTTCGAAATTACCTCGACGTCATCAAAAAGGTTATCAACTGGGAGAACCTTCGGATCACTCGAGAGAGGAGAGAAGCGGTAGCACAAAGAGAAATAGGGAAATAAGGCTATTTGAAATTTGAAAAAACCCACTTCTATCCTCATATTTCTTTTCATTTAATACGATCACATTTTTTTTGTTTCACTAGCATATTGGTCACTATATTTTTTTTATAGATACCGGTGAAGGGTTGGAGGGCGAACAAGAGTTAATTTTTTTTAACATGGTCTGTCTGGTCCAGACCATACCGGACCTCACCGCACATGTGTGGTCTGGTCTGGACTGTATAGTATATGGTCTGGTCCACGGTCTGTGTTCCAACCTCTCGGTCTGGACCACAGACCGTATCTATGGTCTGGTCTGGACCGGACCGCACCGTTTCCCACCCCTATCGGTAATACAAGGGAAGGGACCCTTGTCTATACGTGTCCATAGAGCTCATTAGTACGAGACCTTTTGAAGAGGATTCCCAAAAGTCAAACCGTGCGGATTTGGCCCAAAGCAGACAATATCATATTAATGTAGCTACCCAATTTCTGACACATTTAATTCTATCACTTGTACAAGTGTGCTATCAATCCAAGCTAAAAGAGGCGAAAACTATGATGCATGCAGTTCTAATACTAATCATCAATCAATTAATTAAAAGCCCAAGCAACCTACACTGTTGCATACGAAAAAGTAGGGCGGCAATTAATTTGTGTTCAAGAGTTACTGTTCACCCGGGGGAGCTAGCCCATGCGTCAAATTGTATAGTAAGTTTTTTTAAAAGCGTAAGCTTTTTGTTATTGCTTCCTTGATTTTATTTTATTTATTTTATTATTAGATCACACATTATAAAAAATTTAAGTAGCAATATTATAAATTTTACAATCTCATCAATTTTTGTTAGGGTAAATACAATTTAATATCCAAACCTTTCATTATAAACAATATAATATCCAAACCTTTTCGAAAACAATCTAATATCCAAATCGTCAATTTTTTGTTCGTTTGACCATTAGTTGACACTTCAAAAAAGCTTTGTTTAGGGGAAATTGTCATAATACAACTTTGTTTCTTGTTTTGGCATTGCAGATGATTGAATATTTAGATATTCTATACCATCATGGTGGATTCATGGACTTCTCGGGTTTGGAACTACGATATGTTGGTGGTTTTTCAGAGAAGATATCGATGGATATTGATGAAGTGTCGTACTTCGAACTTTTTTGAAGTGTCAACTAACGTTCAAACAGACAGAAAGTTGACGATTTGGATATTAGATTGTTTTCGAAAAGGTTTGGCTATTATATTGTTTAAAATAAAAGGTTAGGATATTAAATTGTATTAACCCTTTTTAGTACACAAAGGTTCCGTATATTAGTCAACTTTACATAATAGTAACCAATGACGCTTTTCATAACTTGATGTTATTATTAGACCAAAATTGCAAAGGATTTATGTAACATTGTTCTAGATATCTGTAGGGTCCAATATTGTTGCCTATTAGACCTGGTAATAGCCACAACATATGGTAGGAATATACATAGAAAGGATAAAACAGATCATATGTTTCCAGGATCAAGGATGCGTGTCAAAGAAACTCTAGGGAGGAGCTTGCATATGCAATGCCTCACCTTCTGTAACATCCCGAACATTTTCGCGACGAAGATATTGTCCGCTTTGTGCCTTGACTCTCACGGTTTTCGACCTGGGGTGCAATTCAAGGTGACTTCCCATAAGGTCACCCATCCTTGTTGTACTCCACACTGAGCACGTTTAACTTCAGAGTTCTCACAAGAACTCCTCCATTTCACCCCAAAACGCGTATTGTCAGTTAAGGTCGGTTTCTTACTTATGAACCATGGATCTCTCCCGTGCTTTGTCGATGTGGGATTCGCCTAAGGTGTTACACCTTCATCTTTCACCCCCCCCGTATAATAGATTTACATTTTCCACACTATTCTTTCTTTTCACTTTGTAAAACCAACGGGAACCTTAACCTCGGAGGAACCTCAACCTCCACAGTCCCGTTTTAAACCATAGAACTTCTTCCTTGCCACCTGAGTAAATGGTTGTGAGAGATCCTAAAGAATTTGATCTTGGTTTTCGAACAAGGTAAATTTGCATACACGTACTACAGGTGATTTTGAGCAGTTGTTAGGGGCACTCACAAGCATCATAAAGAGCTAAGGTATTCTATTTCATTTCATTATTTATTTTCTGCTTAGAGTCTTTATTGTATTTTTTTATTTCTATTTCTATTTTTTCTTTTCTGTTTCATTTGTGTCTATTTTTTTTTATCCAAGTATGTGTCTTTAAGTAAGTTTTCAGAGTCTTTTCCAGGAGTAGAATCGGCGGCCAGATCGAGAAATTTCTTCACAATTTTGTGTCTTGGCTGCCTTTTTCGCAGAACCTCAAGTTTTTATTAGTCTGTGATTTAGCTCTTATATGGAGGCACAAACCAGGTTATATCGATAGGGGATTCTATTAATTAAGCAACATCGTATGGTTGCAAACCAATTCTCAATTAACTTTTCCTATCCCCATGTGTAGTGCGTAATTGCCTCACATGTTGGCATATATTACCCCTAGCTTTATTATTTATTATAAATTTTTATATTTTGATTGTTAGTTATGATTTTTCGTTGATAAAGATACAATTCAAACCATAGGAAGCTTTTTAAAATATGGTATCCAAACATTTCGAATAGTATTTCATCTTAAGGGTAGGAAAGCGGTTGCGGTTTACGGTTAAACCTCAACGACCTTGAATAAGTATGCTTAATAGTTAACCTCCGACTGTTTATATGAGGTCTTATTCAGTTACGGTTAGTAGGACGAGTCATTTTGCTGTTTGTAGATTAACCACAAACCACACCAAATAAAAGCATAACCGAATGACTAACCACATATATCATTGAACTACATAACATTTAGCATGGACCAATAGACACCATTCACGCCTACGGGTCCAACCATCACCAAACCTCCTCCATCTTGTGTCCAATCCAGCCCAATTCGTTTTCCCTTCTTCAAGTTGACGACCACTGCACCCAAATCCATTTTCTGGGTTTCATTTCTATCTTCTACGTCTTCGTCTTCCCTAATTTTTGAAATTCTAGGGTCACATGTCACTGGATTCGAGAGATAAGAGGGGTCAAGGCGAAGGAGGCAGTGAACAATGTTGGTTTTAGTGGCCATTGGGTGTGATGACGGTCGTCCGTCTTTGTCTAGCGACCTTCTTTCGTCCAACCTGTTGTCATTCTGTCTATGTGTCTTGCCTCTTTCAGAGATGGAGTTTTCGTAATAGTAGAATCCATAATGTCAACAACAAACTAACTGTCCTGGAGTAGCAAACACCCATCTGTCTCTTTCGAAGAACTCTGTGTTATGGAAAACGTTTCACAAAAGTATGTTTCTTGCCACACAAGTCATATATAGAAATTAACACATGCCAACGGTATTGAAGTCTCTCCACTTCATTAACCTTAGAGTACTTGAGCTTCACCAGTATCTCTTTAAATGTAGTGACATTTATGACTTAGCTTAGGGTTTACGCAAAACTTCTAAGTATCACTTTCACTTTAGAATCAGCCAAGCGACATTCCACATTACTTCTCCCCAATTTATCCCCCACATTTCAACTATTTCGCCATAGTTGTTGAAACCAACGTTTCCGGTTTGGGGAATGTTGTTCATATACATTCATGTATATGGTCAAAATCATCTCTTTGGAAGAGTGGATCAACATCAATAAATATTCTAGCTTTCTGACATAACGTCAATATATGCTAGAGTTTACTCATAAGTTATACCCTTTGACTGGGTTAACTCCACAAGGTTTAAGGACTCTCACTTTCTCATTGGACACCTTCATACTTTCAAGTATGACTTCGTTTACCTTTCCAATTTTGTCTTATGGATAGGTTAGCGTCCCATTGTAGGGTCTTGAGATAGTAGCCGAAACAATGGCTAGCTCTTCTCCCCCACAATTCTACCCTTTGCCAAACATCATGGAATAATCCCATTTATTTTCCATGGTTTTACTTATTGAACTTGCCAACCACTATATGTATCTAATTGGTTACCAATGGTATGATCTCACTCGATTAGCATACCACAAACAATTAAGATTTTATTAGAAATATCATCCAATTACTTACCAATGGTATTGCTCAAGGCAACTTGAGACGTCATAAGTAATTCAGATGCATTCCAGGAATGGAAATCCCACTAATTACTTACCAATAACATTTCATTTATGTAACATGATATACCACAAGTAATTCAAACGAATTTCTAATTCAATTGTCTAATTACTTTCCAATGGAATAAACTTCATAAATATACCATAAGTAATCCAGACTTTTAAGTTTAATAAGATCATCTCAATTGAGCTCTCATGCCAAATTGTTTTCCAATGATATATATCTATATATACCATAAACAATTCTGTCAATGAGCTTCACGTTGATAATCATAGGTCATAAACAATTCTGACCTAATGCTTATCTTGATGACAACCATCATTTGGCAAGCTTATTAAATCCCTATAAGGATCAATCATAGCTTCATTTTCCTTGCCCTCATGGCATAAGAAACATCAAGTCCTAAACAAATTATTATGTCATCACAAGCATCTTAGGAATTATAATTCCTTATCACTTATGGCTTACTGGTAATGCAATCCTTTAAACGTGCATTAACCAAATTTCATCTCCAACACATTGGAGGTATACTCTTTCATAACTATGTTCAACTTAATTTGAACATAACCTATGCAAACATTCTGGCTTAGATAGACTTGACTCACAAGTCCCCACTTGCCATGCGCCATAGGTTTTACACACCTATGATTGTTCATAGTTTCCCACTAGATAGTTTATTACTATCCAAACCACCGTTACTTAGAGTCCATGAAGGACTATCATAAGTACGTCCATCATCTCATGCATCACCTTGAATGGAAAAAGTGTCCAAATTAAATTGGTACAATTGTCATTCATCCATGCCACATAATTGAGATGGACCAATGCAATAAAAGCATTAAAACTTTGTGATTAATTTTGGAACCAAACAAACTCGTAAGGTTTTATCCAACTAATTTTCCACTTGGGTGATAAGAACATTTGTCCTTCATTCATCATGTAAATACATGAATTACATAGGTACACACCTACTAATACCGTATGTATATATACACACACATACATATGTCTACTCCTCAAAGGAGATTACAATACATATAGAAGAATCCTAAGGATTCTTGGGGTCGAAGTCAGGATCAGAGAGGCATTCATCGGTCGCTATGTCGGAGTACTCCTCCTCTTTCTCCGATTCCTCAACTTCCTCTTCTTCCCCTATACTCTCCATCGAGTCCACATGGGTGCCCAAATCATCCACATTAGGACCCAGTGAGTACCAATCATAGATGAGTATATCATCTAGAGTCCAATAATTGGTTGGATGCTCTCCACCAATGTCATTATATAGCAAATCCCCGCTATCGTCATAAAAATCGAACCACTCTTCATTGTCAAACTCCATTTCGGGAGTAGAGAGATCAATGATCTCCGGATCTGATTCGATATTAGTGACCTCTATGACGTCATCGTCATCATCCTCGTGAGTTGGACTCCATACTTCGGGGGTGCTACCAACCATTTTCTTTTCTAACGGAATGAACACACTGATCAAATCAGAAACCAAGGGTTTTCTTGCAATGAACAGTGAATTAGAGATCAATAATCCCTTTTCTTTTCTTTTGATTGGAGGAGACAAGCGGTTACATCCGCTCAATTTTGTTCCAACCAAAACATCGAATCATGCGAGCAACCTGCTCTTTGAAACAATGGATATACATCCACAAAAAAATGCATACAGTTGCATTCCAAATGCAAGCGGCAAGATATATATATTTATACACAAGTATCCACATATATATAGTGAAACATATATACATGAATGAGATTCTTAAAACGTATAAAACATGATCATATCTTCCTTAAAAACATTCACACAGGGGAACATACATGTATACACGAATACATGTATACACGAATACATTATGAATTAGAAGAATTAGAATTCCTTTTTCTGGTGCTTATATATCACTGCTAGAATTGGGTTCCTTTCTTTCTACACCGATTCATGCAACGTGTAATGCATTTTTTTTGGAACAACACGATACATTCATAATCGCCATGCCAACACACAGAAAGTATTTTACGGCAAACTTGATTAAAGAATCAAATCTCAGCAGCATGCATTTCCCCAAACCAATTACATAAAAAACAAATACATCCAAATCCATGTATAATATGATCATGCAATTTAATTGCGCTAGACCATTCGGTTACGCCGGCATAAATAGTATACAAGAATAATTATTATAAATTCCTTAAGATTGTTATGGAAAACGTTTCACAAAAGTATGTTTCTTGCCACACAAGTCATATATAGAAATCGACACATGCACAAACAACGCCCGAACCAATAGAATTCACTATTTCTCCTTAAGGAATTTAGTTCCCCTCTACGGTACCCAAGGTTATTGGAACTATTCCTCCCAGGATAGAACAGACGTACCTTTTCTGGCTGTACCAGTACTTGAAACACCAGAATCCAACGAACGCAACGATCGGAGAGAAGTCACACGACTCTGTTTTTTTCTTTATGAGTTTGTAGAGAGGAAATGCAATGAAGAATGAAAAATTCTTTTATCTTTTGGCCAAAAAAATTTCTTGGGAAAACTCACTTGTGTGGAAAACAGAAGGGGGTCGGTGTTTATTTATAGACAATGAAGGGGTGCGAGTGAAGGGATGTGACCCTTCAAGTGGGTGGTTACACCCCAACCATTGCATCGGTTCGCCATAGTTGTTGGACCGGTTGGTTCATTCCAACCGCCACATCGGTCCGGTCCGATTCGGTTCAACTTGGTTTAACCAATAACTCACCAACTATTGGCTTCTTTCCCTTTCATTCTCATTCACACCTTTAAAATCCCAACACTCTGCTGATACCGACGATCCCAATCCAGAGGAAGTGTGAATCGCCTTCCCCCTATGGTGTCCCCTTGCTTTGCATCCTTCTAGTTGGAAATGTCGAACAGAATGCGAAGTTCCTTGGTTTAAGAAACCGAAAAAATAAACTTGGTGCTGAAGTAAAAAGTGGTGGTCTGAAACTATCTCTTATGAATGTTAAATGATAACTAAAGCAACAAATAACAATAATATCAGCCAGATTCTACTCGACGAGGTGGCAAGTGGGGAAAGGAGAAAGAGAATGATGATAGCGATACCAAATCAGAGGATGGAGGATCACAGTCGCAATGGCAGCAACCCCCAAGCTTCTCATTTTGCAGAGGAAGAGGAACGGCAAGGACAAAGACAACAGAAGGGGCTAATGTGTTAACGGATGGACAAGGGAGATCAGGAATTGGGTTTACAAAGGGCTTCTTTTTCAGAGAAGCCAGACCCCTTATTTCTGGAAGAAAGTTGCAAAGCTGGTATTTTTAGCTTACACTCACCTTTCTTATTAGTACATATTGATTGGTTTGTGTTCTTGAAGTTTTGCCATTGTTGAAAGAGTGGTTAATTTCCCATTGCCCTACTCTTCCCTATGATCTGGTTTTCCTTCAAGTCAACTGCTTTAACTACCTCGGAAGAAAAAATGTTACATATGTGGAGGGTATCAGTTAGCAAGAATTAAGGGTTCTGGAAGATGGGCACTTCCAGTTGCACTTATTTGATGATTAGTCATTTTAACTAGTGGCTCAATAGATAGACTTATGAAGTTGTGTTGAGGGAAATAAGTTGCTTCGGCCAAAGCCAATTAGCTGTGAAATGAAGTTACCATTTTCAAATTTGTAAGTTCTGTTGTTGGAGCCTAACACTTTCCGGTTCATTGTTCTACGCCGGTGGCATTAACATGCATCTTCTTTAATTTTAAACTCTGAGCTTGTCAAAGTGTACCCTGAGATTGATTGTAGGTGCCTGGAAATTCTGCACAGGATTGCTTTGACAAAGTACACTCTGACAACGCAACTCCACCTCAATCTCCGCGTCGTCGATCGAGGGCCAAAAAATCATATTCTCCTATTGGATCTCTTGATCTCTCGGCTGGCAAAATATTGGATTCATGCAGGGAGAAGACTAAGAGGTTAAGCACTGGGCACAAGCATCATATTGCTCAGAAAACAGTGAGACAGTTGCTGCAAAAGCATAACCACCGGGACCACAGCCACATAGCAGATCTATTCTCCTTTCTAGAACCTGACAGGAATCCATCTGCTCAAGATTGTGATCACAATCTCCTGCCTTCTACTCCAGAGACTTCGCAGCAGAAGCAGATTATTAGTGTTCTGAAATGTAACGAAGCCAAGATTGGAACCTGTGTCAATAATTTTTTCCTTCTCCTAGTACAACTGTTGACTGTAGTTTGCTAACATCATCTTCTTTCATCCTGTGAACAACAAACTACCATCAAAATTGACAACACAATCTAGGCTTCTCTGTAAATGTCCTTTATGTCTAACTCCATACATCATATTTATGCCAACAACAAGCATGCATCAGGTTCTACCAGGATGTAAGGTTGCATTTCTATTCTCTAATTGCACTACTGTGGTGAGTGAAACTTCCTCCAACTTCAGAAATTGCTTCCTTTCCTTTCGACAGTACCAATAATTCTGACTGGTTATTTTGCCCATTTCGTCATAGCCAGCTCGACACATGTCTACTGTGGACCAACAAATACTTCGTCTGTTACAAATGGGCAAGCCGCTGATATGGTAATGGTATGCCCTTGTTCTTGAGCAGGTGGCTGAAATCTGCCATTTCCCAACACAACCCTGCCAGTCTTTTAAGTACAGAAAACTAGGCAATAATGAAATAATGTTATGTACCAATTTGATTTGCAATACACGGTTCACTTAATAGTTATAATTGTTGGCTATCATGTGGTGACTTTTCTTTTGCAAAGTATTATAACTATATTTTTAGTGGTAATAAACTAATTATTTTATTAATAAAATTTTATCCAAGTTGAAATAATAAACTTATTCCCAAAAATAATTTGGGTAAGCTGCTTTTGTATATGTTTTACGTAGTGTCTTAATTATTACGGAAGGTTTAAATAACATGGTTGTTTATTTAATACGTAAGAAATAACTTTTTCATCAACCTTCATAAGTTTTAGGTTAAATACACTTGTATATCCAAAACTTTCATAGTTGTGCCAATAATATCCAAATTTTCCGAAATACCACTTATAGCCACTTCTGTCGAATTCTTTAACGGTGTAAGCTAATAAGCTGTCTGGACAAACGAAAATGCTGAGTTGGCGAGTTTCACCAGCAACAATTCCACGGTGGATTAAGTTTAAAAAATAAAAAATAAAAAATAAAATAAAAAAGGAGACGAAAGGTCCCCACCAATCGCACACTCCCTCCTTCCCTGTGTGATTACTTAGCTCAACCATCCGTCGCCGTCGCTTCTCCGCCTCGTCGAACCCAAAACACCACCATTCCTTCGCCTAGAGAGAGGCTTTGCGATTTCGAGTCCGATGTTGGCCTATCCTTGTTCTTCCACTACAACAAGGACTCGAGAAACCACTAGCAGGGACTCGACAAAGGGTATTCTTTTCCCTGTTCTGGAATCGAGCACCATTAAGCACTAGCTATCTTCTTCTCCTTTGTTGAACAAATGGGGATGTGAGTGGGTTTTGTGTCGATTTGATTCAAGAAGGACATGAAGCCACTATGTTGGCCTTGATGTGGGTGTTGGTGGGCAGTTCCTAGATATGGAAATCGCTGTCAAAGAAGACATTCTCAGCGGCGGAGAAGGAGCCGCGGTCGCGGCGGTTGTGGGTTAATTAGTACTGCAGCGACGACGATGATGAAGCCAGTAAGCCACTACCATTTCCTGACGACGATGCAGGAGCTTTGGGGAGACTCTGTTACTCCCAAAGCGACGGAGACCTCCAAAAGCCTAGACCTGCATCTTCAATCTCGCCGACGTTGTCTCTCTCGGGTCTCAATCTCACCTCAAAACTGGGCTTGTGAGAAGAAGACTCAGATGTTTCAGGGACTGTGCGCGATTTAAGGTGGGATTGAGTGACGATTGATGCGGAGACTGAGCTTTGTGTACTGGCGATTCTCCTCCAGTCCCGATTCTCCTCCATTACTCTCTTCTGTCTGAGCTCATCTTCATCGGAAGCTAGCTCTTCGCCATCCAAACCAACCATTCATAGCGTCACTGAGCTTCGCACCCCAGTTGCTCACCTGCCGGAACCTCAGTTCCCGGACGTGATTAGTACAGAGTCGGCGACGCGGGGTCGGACTTCAACTTCAAGCTCCTGGCCAACGCCGGCGGTGAGAATGGAAGTGCGGCACCGGAGCTGGATCTGAGCGTGACGGTAATGGATTGAAGATGCCTAATATGTTCGTGATCTGAGCGTGCATTTGATGAAGGCCGGGTGTTGTGATTGCCCAGCGTTTACTCGATCAACGTTTTGGGGAAGAACCCTAATTTCAAAATTGTGGAAATTATTTTAAATTATTTTAAATTTCTTATGTGTCACCTTTGGCATAGTTGGCGCTTACGTGTCTGCTTAGTTGACGCCCAGTCAGCTTGCCGTAAGCTATGTTGACGGAGTTGTTTACGCCGTCAAAGTATTTAACTTAAATGGATAGATTTGGCAAAGAACAACTTTCAAACATGGATATAAGTGGTATTTCGGGAAATTTGGATATTATTGGCATAACCATGAAAGTTTTGGATATACAAGTGTATTAAACCTAAGTTTTACGTAATGCAATTTAACAACTGTTATAGAACGATGCTACGTAATCTTCTGTAATGTGTTGTCTAACAATAAAATCAAATTATATATAAGTCTCACATTTTATTAAGTTATTATGTCAAATTAAATTATCTTACGAAAGATTTAATTTTCATAATTCAAAATGTCGAGATGTTAGATCTTGTAGGTAATAATGAAATAGTTTTAGTTAATAATAAGTAAATTAAGTTATAAAAGTACATTTGGTGAAATAGTTAATTACTTATGTAAAAATTAACCGACCTTACAAAACCTTTGGGTAGTGCAAATCGACAAGATCATTATCAGTTTAATTAAATTTAGGAGTTCTCATTCAAACTTATTTCATGAAAGATGTTTATTTAATTGATACATAAGAGATTATTATCCCTCTATTAAGTTTACGTATTGCATTAGTCATTGCGGAAGTTTATGTTGTATGTTTTATTTAATTGATACATAACAAATAACTATCCCTCTGTAAAATTTACACAATGTATTCGCAACTTATGTAATTGTTACAGAATGGTGTTATGTAAATCTTTTGTAGTGTGTGGTATGATGATAAAATGGAGTCATGGAAAGTATCACATTTGATCAAACTACAAACTTACCTTAGAGAAATTGATGAGATTATGAACATTGTCTTTAATTATAAGGTTTACATAATATATTTGGACATACAAATTGATGAGATTATGAACATTTTCGTTAATTATAAGGTTTACATAATATATTTGTACTACGTATATCTTCCTAGTAACATGGAATAAAAAAGTACCTAGCTAAGCGAGAAAAAAAATCTTTTTAATGCAATTGACTATAGGACATGGAAAACAACAAATTATATAAACAACTGATTGTGAGAAAATCCGGCGAACATTACCCACTAAAAGAGAAATAAATTTGACAATTTAATTATGCACCTATAAGCTATCCACCGAAGAGTGTGTGTGGTCGGCCTATTAAACCAATCAACCCATAATCTATCCGAAGAAATATCCCCAAAACCTTGCGTAAAACATTCATTGAAAGAAATGTGAAAAGAATGTCACCACGTTACTAGAAGAAGGAAAATTATTGGTCTGGTTTATGGACTGTTATGTCATATGCGACATTTGAGCAATGAATTCTTTAACCTCCCAAGGGGAAGAAAAAAAAAACTGAATTTAATACTCTCCTACACAATAATATCTGCAATCATTTATTATTCAAACAACATTCTTGCCCACATGCCCTTCTGCTGCTAAATTATTCAAACAAATTGTCCTCAGAGCTCTTCATGCTGTCCTTATTTATTAGTGCAGGAAAAGATAGCTAACTAGACCAAAGCTCACTTAACCTAATCATAAAACACCTTGATTGAAGGGATTAAGTTGGCCGAGAAAATGAAAGAGACAAGATCTACTACTACTACTACTTATTAGAGGATTAGAAAGTACAGTTGGTGGGACTGATTACAACGTCCATTTATCACTCCCATGAGTGCTACAACAGACTTTGGCAAAATGCTCCATTGTTTGTTTCCCTGCAGAATCTCTGATTGTGACCAGACATTTTTTCAGCCTCTTCTCTTGTCTCTCTACTTTTCAGTTCTTCCCCCTTCACAAACATCTCCCTCCATAGCCAGCAGTCCTAAACAAGGCCTGCTTTATATCTTCAGAACTCATCACTGACCTATGCTCCCCACCCTGCACAAACCAAGCCAAAGAAAAGAAGGGGGAAACAAACAATGGAAATTTAAAGCAAACCCATCAGAGAACTAGACAGTCCCAAGTGATTCATAACCTCATGTATTTAATTGGGGACAAGACAAATTAACTATCACTATGCTCATACCTCTAAGCAAGAAGCCTGCATTGAGAAATCATTGAAGCAGCTAATCACACACTGCTGAATCTCCAGGCCTAATGCTTCAATGGTGTTCACAGTCGATAGCAGCAGTCCCGGTTTTGGTGCACAGCAGATGTCGATCCGGGTCTCGATTTCTCTCTTCTCTACACTGAACTGCATTGTTGAGAAGAAGAATCCAGCAAATGGGTATTGGTTAAACTAATCTGCATATGCTTCAAATGTGGGGAAGCAGGAAAATTTAAAAAAAAAAAAGTGAAAGGATACTGACTTTGGGGGAGTTTCTGACAAGAGCTTCACTTGGTTTAGTGTCATTCAAGTTGGTGATCAACTTGACTTGCTTAACTCCATCCTCACTCTCTTCTTCTACTTTCACTTCTTCTTGCTGCAATCTGTTGATCCTCTCAAGGAGTTCCTTCACATAGTCAATTGTGTCACCAAGGATTGAAGTTCTGTCCATCTACCCCACACACAAATCTGTCCTTGTCAATTCCAAGACAGAAAAGAACCAAAAGAGAAAACATACAGACACATAAACACTAACAAAGTAAAAGAGGGGAGAAGAAAAATTAGTAGACCTTGCTGATCTTAGGCACAATTGATCTCAACATAGAGAGCCTGTCATTAAGCCTCTTCCTTCTCCTCCTCTCAGCCATTAGATTCTTGGAAGGCTGCCCTTCTACCCTCTTAGACTTGCCCTTCTTCTCTCCACAAAACCCCATAGCCATACAAGGTTGGAGATGAGCAAGATCCCCGTCCTCCCCTGCAGTTTCCTCTGGTTTGCAGCACCCCATTTCCATGTCCCCATTTACTTCCTCTTCAACATTCTGCTGGGTGCAGAAAAGTGCCCCAATCTGCTCTTCCTCATCAACTGTGTTTGGTTGGATTAGTAGAGATGGCGAACTCTGGTCAATGCTGAACTCACCATCAGGACAAAACGGGTAATCAGCTTGTTGGTCAGCGTAAGTGCAGTCAAAGGGAAGAAATGGAGGAAGAAGATGTGGGGGAGGAATGAAGGTGGCCATGGAAGGCAATGCTGAAGAGTGGTGATGGCTATCAAAAGAGTCAAAGCTCCAGCAGCCATTGGAGAAGAGATTATCAGTAGAAGTAGTAGTAGAAGAAGAAGTAGGTCCAGCTGCAGCAAGAGGAAAAGTTGACCAGCTTTCTCTTGTAGGGAGAGCCTGATTATGATGATGATGATGAAGCAACTCCTCTAAGAAACCATGTTGGGGAGTGAGCTCCATTCTGCCTTCTCTTGTGGGTTCTTTTTCCTTTCTTCTCTTTCTAATCTTTTCTTCTTCTTTCACTTTTCTCTCTTCTGATTTTCCTTTTTGTGGGTCAAATCCTATCTCTCTATTAAAGGGTTGGAAAGACTGATGATAATATGGCAAAAGTTCGGATGCTGAAAGCAACCCATGAAGAAAGCAGCTGCAAGCAAGAAGAAGAAAAAGAGATATTATTTTTCTTCATTAAAGAAATTTGCTGATATATTTTATACATTTGTTTGGGTACAAGGAAAAGGAGGATTAACTAACCGTGAGAAGAGAAAAATGACAATAGTAAAGAAATCTAAGTCATAAAAAAAATATTCTCTTTTTCTATAAATGGGGTTTAAGTAGTTTGTAATGTCGGTCCGATCAGAAATATTGTCTATCATAATTCAATATAGTATGAAATTTTATTAATATGAAACGATACCAGAATTAAAAAACAAAATCAAGTACCGTTTATTTATTCTATACAAACTCCGGTACTGTTTTAAATTCTTGGCTTTAAGAAGGAAGGAGTTCAAAGGTGGCAGAGCTACTCGATCCTGTGGAGGGCGGTTGGTGTCGCCATTCACTTCAGCAGATGTTTCCTCCTGAGGTCAGTCGAGAGATTTTGGCGATCCCCCTACCTCCTATGAGTATCGAGGATAAGTTGGTATGAAATGATACGAGTGATTATGTGTTTATTGTCAATTCCGCCTATCACCTAGCGGTATTGGTGGATAGCTAGGTAGGGGTGTGGCGCCCCAGAGTGAGCTGGATGGATAGGGAGAGTTGGATGAAAATGTGGGCCCTCAATATCCCACCTAAACTTAAGCTATTCCTCTGACAAATTTTTCACCGTATTTTGCCTACCACGGAAGCCTTGATTGAAAAAGGGTTCAGATTTTGTCTCGCTGTCCGGTGTGTTGGGCGGAGTCTGAAACGATGGAGCACCTCTTTTGGGAGTGTGCAGTCGCTGCAGCTCTCTAGGCTCATTCGGGTTTGGATCATCTGGGGCAAGATCTGCCACGACATACCTTCCCTTTGTTCCTTAAGAAATGTTTGCTTAGGATGACCCAGCCGGATCAAGTTATGGCCTTGGTAGCACTCCTCTGACGTATTTGGAAATCAAGAAATTGGGCGGCTTTTGAGGGCAAGCAGTTCTTGGTTTCCCAACTGATGCGCCAATATCATCAACAGGTACATGAGTGGGTGTTTTTACCGGAGCATAGATTGGTCTTAGGTTGGGTTACTTCACAGCATCATCAGGACGAGGAGGAGATGTCAGCTCTTGTTTGTATGTGGGATGGTGCGGTGCGTGCTAATTCCCATTCAGCGGGAGGGCTGATTGTGAAGGATGGAGGAGGGAATGTGGTGGCAGCGAAATGATTGTTCTTTGAGGGCGTGGTTGATCCCCTGGTGGTAGAGACTATTGCCCTTCGTGAAGCTATCCAGTGGTGTCAGGACCTTTGGCATCCCTCAAGTGAGGTTTGAAGGTGATGTGAAGGAACTCATTGACAAGTTTAATGCCAAAGATGCGCATGATAGTCGTGTAGGGGCTATTATCAATGAGATTTTGTGTCTGCTGGTTTGAATAGTGGCTTTTGTGTTCGGTTCGTAGGTCGGAATAGCAATAAGGTAGCCCATTCCTTGGCTAGGAAGGCCCTTTCTTTGTCTCTGGCCTCGTGTCGATTGTATGATTTTCGTGTCTGGGTTGGATCTAGGATGTAACTTCTAATCTTATCAATATATATGATTATCTTTGGTTAAAAAAAAAAGAACAGTACTCCATGTTCGCGAGTTTCAATTTTACACTAATAAGTTACAAGGAATTTTTTGATACATATTAATCTTATATATCATAAACTAATGCTATATTTTATATAAATTATTGTGAACATTATTAAAATTCATTTTAAATACTTTTACTTTATTTGGTGTTCATTATTTCCCACTTTTCTCGTGTATTATATTGAAACCGGCATAAACTATTTGTACCACCAATCACATAATTCAACTTGCTTCACCGGCACATCGATATAAACCAGTTTGACAATATCCTAAAGTGTTGTGGTTAAGTGGCATAGTCATTCCTCACGGTATACGAAATTATGGTTCTTTTGAAAATGAGTTGTTTGACTTCGCGAATTAACTTCTGCAATTACATAGAAACTCATAATTTATGTTATATCTATATCCATATTATTTTTGGATAAGTCAAACATAAAAATCTTACTAAGAGGTCATTTGCTTGTGGGATTTTAAAAAATGAAGAATTTTGATAAAATCTTGGATTTTGGGATTGAAGGATTATGTTGGATTTTGCTATGTTGGATTTGTGTTGGATTTTAAAAATTGCATGTTTGCTTGTTGAATTTCAAAATGGAATTTACTATCTTGGATTTTATGGGTTAAATTATGAGTTTACCTTCTTGACCTTTTTCCTATCATTATAATTTTTTTTTTCTAAGGATACTTTAGTCATTCATAGTTAGTGGGGTCCATGGATTTTGAAAAAAAAACCTCACGTTTATGGGCCCTACGAATTTAGGCCAACCTCAACAAACATGGATTTGATCATAAATCCAACGTATAAGGAATTTCGGGACAAAATTCCTCATCAAAATCCTACAAGCAAACGAGTTATTTCACCTCGGTCAAATCACCCCTTATTATTGGAAGGGGAGTAACCAAGATGTTGGGCAAACTCAAATCATATTTTTGTTCAGGGAATTTCTTGACTAGCTAAATGTAATTTTTGAAACTTTATGAATGATCTCTATGAATTAGGATGTCAAAAAATTTAATTTTTGGGTATTTTTCAAACTCAGCGTATTAAGGTCAAATTAGATTTGGGATAAATTTGTATAATTTTTTAGTTTGGATAAATTAGACTCATTATATATGATATCTTAAAAGGAATGAGTATCCAATTATGATATGGTTTTTTCGGGAACGGATCAGGTCAGTAATCTTATGGTGAGTAATCGTGAGTAACCCGTCCACATCAGCATGACATCATCATCCCTCTCTCTCCTAGAAAGCCTTTAATCCCCCCTTAATCTTTGACGGAGGATTTCTCACTCGTTTTAAGTCGATTTTTTTACACAGTTAAATCAGATTAATTGTGCTCTTGAAAATGATATCCACACTTTGATATATTTTTCGAACAAACAAAATTGAGTCATTTTTTACCAGTCTATACCATATGGTATTGTCTGGTATTGAAATAAGAGCATACATATGGTTTGAAAAGCATACCATGGTGGTATGAACAAACCAAGACTGTAGGATGATTGAATACATGATAGTAGAAGCATATTAACTGTCATTTACGACTTTTAACATTGTGTACCACAAGATACCACCCCGTACCAGGGTGGTATTGTATGGTATTTTTTGATCCTTTAATTTGTTCACCTAGAAATTTGTAGATCCAATAGATCATGATGAACTCGTTCCTTCTGTGCAAACGTTTGCAAAAACGAATTAAAAGTGAAGAAGATACCATATGGTATGCAGTTGGTACCGAAAGGCAAGAATTTTTTTTCTCAAAAATTATTAAAAATGTAACTCATTTTGTAGAGCACGACGAACACGTTCCATCTATGCAAAAAAAAAAATCGAGTTAAAACGAAGAAGATATGAGCCGATTAAGAAAGTTAGGAAAAATAAAAATGACCTTTAATTCTCCATCCTTAGATCTGGATTTTCTAAATGAAGGGTTCAGATTGAGCCGGTTTTTCCTTTTTTCTTTGTTCTGAAAGAAACAAATTATGGAAATACTAACATTAAAGTTGTAAATTGGACTGAAGACAATTAGCAAATCTATCTAATATGCATATGAATCATGAAAATTACATCAAATTAATTGAATCATTGTAATTACTCATAAAAAAAAATGAAAGAGAAAATGTGGATATGTAAGAACTAAGAAGTCACAAGGGAGCCTGTTAAAAAATTGGAGGAATCTACTTTTTTTCTGCTGTCTCTCTTTCTTTCTTTCTCAAGGTGAATTCATGTCTTTTCCAGTGAAATTTTTCAATCAGACAAAACTTGGGTAGCAGCAACCCAACCCTAGTGTAATATAAATAATAATTTACTGAAAGTTTGACATGCAAGCACATGATGTATGTGCATCTGAATCCGCAAACATTATTATGATTATTTTGACTACACCTTGGATCACCACCGCAACCTTACCTTAGCCCCGCTGTCATCGCCAGAGGCTCACAAACGAGAGACTAATATATCCCTTTTCTTGTTACACTACCTATACTCTCAGCTGTTGATAGAGATGCAAATCAGCTGAGTCTCAACTTGCTGATAAATGAGTCTGAGTCAAGTTGGAACTCTATTTATTTATTAAAATTTGATTTGTGTTTGACTCGAGATTGACTCAATTTTGTTTCATTAATGAGCTCACGAGCTCGACTCATTAATTAGCTCGTGATATCGGATTGAGCTAAGGTTCATATAATTTACTTCATAATTTTCAATTTTTCATATCATATAATATAATAGTAATTAGTATTTGAGTTATCTACGATACATAGTTTCTTTTTTAATTATAAATAAGATATTTGATCACTTGCTCAAATTTTCAAACATAATATGTGGTGAGATATATAAACTAACAAACATATGAAGTATTAACAAGCCAATGATAAGGTATAACCTATTTGCTCATAAGTTGTTAGTTGAGGTGACTCATTGCCATATTGTCGAGCCAGCTCATAGCTCAAAACGAGCTAGCTCACGACTTGAGCTCAATACGCCATCGAGTCGAACTCCTAAACAATAAAGCAAATCCTACATTACAATGAAAACAATAATAAAGAAAATTAATAATAAAATACTAAATAATAAAATACGCAAGCCCAGATCGATGTCCAATAGTTACAATGTCTTGATTCTCATAACATTCCTCCCCCCCCCCCCCCCCCCCTCCTCCCTCGCAGCAACCTTGCCCTCAAGGTTGGTCATCTTCATGGATGAATTGACCTTCCTCCTCATCGATGCATGCTCCAATCATAAGTAGCACGTTCTTATTGGCACATCAGTGGCCAATCGTAAAACGTTCGTTGCAATGGAAGCAAATTCCTTGAGCCCGGCGACATGCTACCTCCTCGGGAGACATTGTTCGAGCATTTGGGTTGCGAGGAGGTGCGACTCACGGAGGTGGTAGTGGTGGCTCTGTCGCGGCCTCAATTGGTGCCCGTGGTGGATTCCTCTACACTCCCTATGCTTCGCCAGTTCCTCGTTCTTGACCTTGGCAAGTCGTATTGCCTCTCATACAGTCTCTGGATTGAATATGCGGATTGCGTCAGATATTTCCGGTTTGAGCCCACCAATGAACGAGCCCACTAACGCCTCTTCGGTCCACCCAAAGCTCCGGTTACCCAATTTCTCAAAGGTCAACAAATAGTCGCTCAAGGAACTGGTTTGCTTGATTTTGGCGAGCGCTTCATGGCAAGAGATGTTATCTGACGGCCCGAACCTTGCCCATAACTCCTCTTGAAACCAGAGCCATGTCATGGCAACCCCGATGTCGTGTAAGCTCGATCCAACCATTTCCACCATTGGTTGGCGTCACCCTCCATGTGATAAGATGCCAAGAGCACCTTATGTTCTTTTGGAGTTTCCTGAAATTTGAAGAACTTCTCCACTCATGTGAATCATCCAGATGGATCCTCACCGCCGTTACATTTTGGAAACTCCAATCGAGCCAGATTTTGTCGAAGCAGACCAATTTGGTTGTCAAATCACCTCGACCCATACCTGGAAGACTGGCCCGACACGGCTCCTTGGTCTCTCGGCTCGCCTCCACCTCCTGCTGGGGCTGATCCTCCTCGTGGCCCATTCGGCAAGTCCGACGCACCTGGCCGGTTTGGCCACCCTGGCCCCCTTAGTCCGCTCGATCCGCCCGACCCGCCAGGGATACTTTGCCCGCCTGGCCAACCCAGCCCTCCTAGCGCCCCCGTCTTGTTGGGCCCATGCCACTGATCCTCCTTCCCGCTGGGTTGTTGGGCCCATCATGGACAAAGTCCCGGCCCAACATGCTCTATCGCCCTGAGCCCCATCCTTGTTGGGCTTAAGCCCACTCGTGCCAAGACTCCCGGCCCACTGCCGACCATGCCTCCCCTGAAGAGACCCTGTCCAAAGCTTACTAGGCATGTATCGCCGCTAATGAAGCCTGGGAAAACGATACCCGAGGCTCCGCCTATTCCCTGCATCCACCGCTCTCCTTCCTCTGCGTCGTTCCCGCATCGGTCGCGAGAACTCCCCACTTCGGCCCGATCGCGGCATCGATGACTCCTCGTTCAACCCGTTGTTATTGAGACTGTAGCGGGCCTCGAGTCGTACATCTCGAGCAGCTTCGCGATGAGTTTCCTCTCTGTGATCTCCTCGTCCGCCATCACGCCATTGTGCTTCTCCTTCGTGGCCGAACGCTGCTTTGAGACGAAGCCAAAGTCACCTTCTCCTCGGCGGAGCTGGCGCATCATCTCGATCATGACAGCATGTTGCTGCGCCACTGCCTCCTGGAGCTATTGTGCCATTACGGCATGGCTTTCCGTGATAGCCACCTGGGTTTGCTGTGCTAGGGATGCTTGGAGTTGCGTCAAGGAACTCTCTACCTTCAAGATCCCCTTCTCGAACCCTTTTTGTCGTTGACTGACCTTGTCGAGCCGTCCAGTCGCGGCTTGTTGGGCTTGAAGGATGCCTTGGAAGGCTTCCTCGTTGATCATGGGTTGTTCAGAAGCTGATGATGCTTTCATAGCTTTCTTAGGTGCCATCTCCTGTATCACGTCGTTAGCAACCAGGCTCTGATGGCAATTGCTACGTGTATTTCTCCGGTGAGAACCTTCACGCAACGTACAACGTCGTATTCATTAGATAAACATCAGAAATAGACTTAAAACAAAGAGAATTGAGATTAAAGAGGGGTAAACTACAAACTACTATTGAATTCCAATCTTCTCATATTATTAAATAAAAGGCTAAGTACATATTTATATGCATAGAAAACCCCAAAATCCTAATCTTTCCCCTACAAGGCCGGCGACCCTCTCCCCATTTTCCTACCTTGATTATGAAACCCAACCTACAAGGAAATAATAATTACCTCATAAACAATAAACCAAATCTTAGATGAACAATAAAAACAATAATAAAGACAATTAATAATAAAATACACAAGCTCAGATCGAGGCCCAATAGTTATGATGACTTGATTCTCGTAACAGTATTTGGTGTCGATCTTCCACTTATTAGCGTCGAAAGATTGAATTCTCTTGCAAGGATTTCAAATATGGGAATATGCTATTAAGGATTATAAGGGATAAGAGAAATTGCAAAAAGGGATTGGGAGGGATTGAGAAGTTAAGGAGCATCCCCCCCCCCCCCCCCCCCCCACCACACACACACAATTAAGAGGCAATGAGTGAAGCACCAGGAGGGTCGAAACATAGATTTATAAGATATTTAAGGGCCAAATCAATTTTGAGGAATAAGTCCTAGATTAGGAAAAATGGTGGAGCTTATCGGTGCGGAGGTAATGAATTTGATCGTAGTTTGATGGCGGTGATTAGTGATGGCAATAGGCCGAAACAGGGTGGGTACCTCAATACTCATAACTCCATGCTACTATGAATCGGGGCGGGTAATATTTGCGAGGTACGTGGCATGTCGACCCACTCTTACATGTTATTTGAAAATAATACACGCAAAATTTTACTTCTTACGATAAAACGAAGGAAAATTGAGTCCAACTAATTGAAAGATCAAGTCTAATGAGTTGAAATAAGACAAAGTAGGAGAAATATGAATAGATATCGTAAGAAATTGCGATAGAAAGTGTCAAGAAAGGGGCGGGTAGGCCAGGACAGGTTGGAAGTAGATACACATGTCTCGCGCCATGCTACTGTGGGTCGAGTAATACCCACCCCATCACAGTTCATGTCGGGTAATACCCGGCGGACGAGTTGAAATTTCCATCCCTAGCGATGATGCAGAAGTGACTGGGAAAATGGTGTAGTGGGATGAATAAGAAGGAGAAGAAAAAGAAGAGGAGATTCGCACTCTAGGGTCACCTCAGCAAGAGAGAAACATGAGTTATTACTCTCGACCATGAGTTGAGGGTATTGAAATTCCAATCGAACATCCGGAGAACCTCACTATTGAGATAAAGACGAGTGTAATAACCTTGATGCAATCACGCATTCAATTCCATGGTTTAGAGGACAAGGACCCGCATACTCACGTAAAAGATTTCCTCCTCCTCAACGACGAAATCAAGTTAGACGAAATTCCTCAGGATGTTATATGACTAAGAGTAAGACTATTTTCATTCGAATTAAATTGGATAGTTAAGGAGTGGTTGGCCAACCAATCACCCATTTCTCATTGCTATTTAGGGCCTCCACGAGCCATATCAATGGTCTATGGTACTGATGATCTAATGTATCTAGCATTTATCTAGAATTTATCTCAATCATAATTGAAAAGATGTACTCTTCCCTCCATACACGCCTAAAATGGATGATTACCACATAGAATAGATGGTAATATAAACATATGATGATAATATAAACAATGACCATAGTAACTTAAAATAGATGGTGAGAGCATATGATGATTTAAGCATTAGATAATCAAAGCATAAGATGATACAATCATCGAATGAAAGAAGCATCTAATGATAATAGCATCTCATTAAATAATAGAACATAGATGCATGAAGCAAAAAAAAAAAAACATTTCAACCCTAAACAATACAGAGCTAGCGCGCCATAGGGGAAACCATAGATGATGAAGGCATCCTTTTCGAACTCTCATAGAACTTCGCCTCCTCCTATGGATTGCTAATTCGTGCCCTCTAGGATAGAGTGAGTGCAAAAGTTGTTTCTAAATCTAGAGCCTAAGCCTCTGTTTATAATACATCATAAAAGGGGTTTTTAGGGGGGGTTTTCTCCTAAAAGTCTGCCAAAAGAGTCTTGGTACCACTGGAACGCAAATTTATTGAATTAGGGCCAAAGGCTTATTCTCACGATTCCATGGGCCTGGACCTGCGGAGGCCTCCTTGGGGTCACCATTGTCGCTACCTCCAATTGAGTTGAATTTTGGTGGACAACTTCATCTTGGGTATTGAGCTGCTCCACAAATTATTTGGTCTTCGTTTGACCCGTCAGCTTTCATAAATATGGTTCTTTGGGTCATAAGATAAGCATTCAATGTCCAAGTCCATCTTTGTTTGAGCCCATGAGCTTGTAATCTCGTCCTCCTTCTGATTCATGATGATCCATATTCATCTTGAGTGTATTATATCCCTAAATCTAAATGCACAAAATGACATCATCTTTTTCCGAAAATTGTATCGATGCTTCCACCATCATCATCCAAGAGGGCTTTATCGTGATGCTTGATGGATGTTGCTTGCTTCGATACTTTCGGACTAAAGTACATAATGGTAGAAATATACTAACCACCATTTACAATCTTTCATCAGTGTCTACCACCAGTTTCCACCATGTATCATGATGGTATAAAGTGGCATATTTGGTATTGAATTTGTTTTCATACTTCTGTAGATCACAATATATCACGATAAAGTTGTTCCTTCGTTGTATTGTTTCTTTCATCCTAAAATTTGACTTAAAAACGAAGGTCGTACTAAGATGGTAATGGATGGTAAAAAACAAATTTCACTAAATATTATCGAAAATGAATATCATTTTGTAAATTATAATGAAAAAAGTAGGAAAACTACAAAACCATTTTATCTCACAATTTAGATAGCACCCACTAAAAATTAAGGGGTCGTTTGCTTCAAGGATTTGGTACATGGATTTGGTACCAAAAAACCAACTATCAAGGATTTAGGTACAATCCGTTGTTTGCTTGCATCTTTTTTGGAGACCAAATCCGTGGGGTCCACGGATTTTAAGGGTCCAAATCCGTGGACCCCACGGACTTATAAATCCCACATGTTGATGTGGGATTTGGAATATGACATAAATCCTTGATGACATTTTACCCATATACCCTCATGCACTTTTAATATTCCAAGGTTGCCCTCAAATTTAACTATTATACATTATAATTAACAATAAATGAATAATATAAACGTTCAATTAATGTGCAAACATGAGTTAGATTTTTTATATCATTTCTTGTGTTCTAGTTTTCTTTGACCTTTTCATGGAACGTGTAATTCATTGTTCTCCCGATTCTAATATATGTTGTTATATGTTACTTTTGAAAAGGAGGACAAAGAATTGGTAATTGATTATGTTACGTTAAAAGTTAAAACGAAATTTTCTTGTTTATTATTATTGTCCATGTGGCAACTTTATGCGTATTAGTATGTATTGTCCTTGTTTTGTGTACATATCATAAACATGTCAAACATATAGAAAATGATAGTAAGGTAATTTTGAAGTTTTGTCCTTGTTTTGTGTACATATCATAAACATGTCAAACATATAGAAAAGGGCAGTAATGTAATTTTTGACTTCAAGTAGTAAATCCCACACCTTTAAATCCATGATAAAAACATCACAACAAACAAAGGATTGTTACAAATCCTTGATAAATCCTTGGATTTTTAAATTACAAAACCCTCGTTTATAAATCCATGAAGCAAACGACCCCTAAGGATCATATTCAGTTGTACTACACTAGTCTAATACGAGCAGACAGAGTGCTGGATAAATCTTTACTAAATTTAGTATATTCCCATTCTTGAATAATAAATTAATAATAAAACCCAAGTGGGTGTAGCCAAAAATGATAATCAACAATTATTGAAGAAAAAGTAGGAGAATCTTCCTGCAATTTGTATATGTATGAAGATTGAACCCAGAGACAGACAGCTTATCCAAGTCACTAATCATTCAAAGAAGCCACCCTAGAAAAAGAAACGAAAAAAGAGGTCAAACAAAGCTCGCAGCAACAGCCACACTCACGTTACAATTTACAAATGTCGCTCCATTGCAAGAGATTTTGCCTCTTCTTTCTCTTATTCTTCTTCTTTTCCCCCTTACTTCTTCCCCAGACAAGCGGAGGAGTAATTCTTCAATACCCCTGCAAGCCACCGAAGCACAACCATTACCCATTCTGCAACAAGTCCCTCTCCGTCACTTCCCGAGCTCACTCTCTCATCTCCCACCTAACACTCCCGGAGAAAATCCAGCAACTTTCCGACAACGCCACCGGCTTCCCTCGCCTCGGCATCCCCGATTACCTATGGTGGTCCGAATCCCTTCACGGAATCGCCATCAACGGCCCTGGAATCTCCTTCAAGGGCCCTATCTCCGCCGCCACGGGTTTCCCTCAGGTCATCCTCTCCGCCGCGGCGTTCAACAGGTCGCTCTGGTTCTTGATTGGGTCGGCGGTGGCGGTGGAGGCTAGGGCGATGCACAATGTAGGGCAGGCTGGGTTGACGTTCTGGGCCCCCAATGTGAATGTGTTTAGGGACCCTAGGTGGGGAAGAGGCCAGGAGACCGCCGGGGAGGATCCTTTGCTGGGTTCTGATTATGCTGTTCAGTATGTTAAGGGTTTGCAGGGGGGAGGTTGGGGAAATGCTAGAAGGAAGAGCGTTGACTTTGGTGGCGGTAGTGGATTTGGCGAGCACAGGGTTTTGGGGGAGGAAGATGATGTGTTGATGCTGTCTGCTTGTTGTAAACATACCATGGCTTATGACTTGGAGAAGTGGGGGAACTTCAGCCGCTATTCATTCGATGCTGTGGTTAGTTTTCACCTTCTCTTACTGAAACTGGGTTGATTCAATTTCTGGCATTAGAAGCTGGCCAAAGTTTTCCCGCCGACTGCAGTTGCGCTGACTCGAAATTTTGTGAAACTGAAAGTACCCTTTCTCGTTTATATTGCCCTGATACATTGCTGAACAAGACCGAGATAGGTGGCTGTTTCCATAGTTGCCACTGTCCAGAACCAATTTGTCATAATAATTTAAATTGTTGGAACAGAATTGTGAATGAATATGATAGCATTACCTTGTGGCCTTTGAATGTTTGTCTGTTTCTCAAGTTATTTTGTTTACCCTTGTTTGACACGGTCTCAGGCTAAAACAGCTTGTTGGTTGTTATTAGAGCAAGGTTTTCTAGAGTTCTGATGTGGTTCAAAGCTACAATTTGGTAAATATTGTCAGTAATAGGGTAGGCAGAGTTTTACAGAAAATAAATGGGGTTTGGATCCTTCTGTTAAGAACCAGTTGCTCCCAATAGCTCGAGTTGTTGGGAGAGGTTCAATCGTGGATCATATACCACAACACTAACACGCCCCCTCAAACGAAAGCCACTCACAAGGGCTTGAAGTTTGCACAGGTCTGAAGACAAGAATACCATGTGCTTAACAAATGGGGTCATCGGGAATCGAACACAAGACCTCTCGGTCATAGAAGGCTCTGATACCATGTCAAGAACCAGTTGGTCCCAATAACTCGAGTTGTTGGGAGAGATTCAATCGTGGATCATATACCACAACACTAACACCTTTTACATGATTGTTTATGGTCAAATAGGTGACAGAGCAGGATTTGGAGGACACATTTGTGCCCCCGTTTCGTGGTTGTGTTCAGGAAGGCAAAGCAACCTGCTTGATGTGTTCATATAATCGACTGAATGGTGTGCCTGCATGTGCCCGAGAGGATCTCCTTGAAAAAGCTAGAAAAGAATGGAACATGAAAGGGTAAATACACATATGATCAACGATAAACTATGTAGTTTACTGTGTGATGCAAATTATAGACAATCACGGATTGAAACAGTTGTCATTGGGATTTGACTTGATTTTCTTGTATTCCAGATACATCACTTCAGACTGTAATGCTGTTTCAACAATTTCTGATTCTGAATATCAAGGCTACACGAAAACCATCGAGGAGGCAGTCGCTATTACTCTTAAAGCTGGTATGCATTCTGTGTGTATGAAGTCTGAACTATTTTTTATGATGCATTTGCAGTATTTAGCTTCAGTAACAACGATGGTCTAATTTGTTCTTAGGAATGGATATTAACTGTGGATCAACTGTGGCGCTGCATGCTAAATCTGCTATTGCTCAAGGAAGACTGCAAGAGAAGGACATAGACAGAGCTGTTTTCAATCTTTTCTCTCTTCAAATTCGTCTTGGGTTGTTTGATGGAGATCCCAGGCAAGGGAAGTTTGGGACACTTGGTCCTAAGAATGTTTGTACTAAAGAGCACAGGAGGCTGGCCTTGGAAGCTACCAAGCAGGGAATTGTCCTCCTTAAAAATGACAACAGTTATTTGCCATTGAGCAAGAAAGATGTTTCTTCACTTGCAATTATCGGTCCGTTGGCAAACAACGCTACCAATATCGGAGGAGATTATACAGGTAAATTATTGCCTTGTGGATCGTTACGCGTGGCTGATTTTACCACTCCCTCAAGACAAAATCATCATAAAGTGATTTACAACTGAACATGTGAAGCTTCTGTTGATCTTACATTTTGCGTATCTATACTGAGCTGTACAGTCTAAAGTTCTTGATCATCTCCGCTGTAGGATATTCATGCAAGCCTGAAAGCCTTTATGATGGCCTGAAGGCGTATGCAAAGAAGACAGAGTTTGCAGCTGGTTGCACTGATGTCCCATGTGTTTCTGATGATCAATTTGATAAGGCTATACGTATAGCCAAACGAGCAGATGTTGTAGTAGTTGTTGCTGGGCTTGATTTATCCCAGGAGACAGAGGATCACGACAGAGTTAGTCTTCTGCTACCAGGCAAACAGACGTCCCTTGTCTTGTCCATTGCTGCAGCAAGTAGGAAGCCGGTCATTTTGGTCCTCACTGGTGGAGGACCAATAGATGTATCGTTTGCCAAAGCTGACCACAGAATTTCGAGCATTCTTTGGATTGGATATCCTGGCGAAGCTGGTGCAAAAGTACTTGCAGAAGTCATCTTTGGTGACTACAATCCAGGTGAAGTAACTATCCACCTCTAGTTTTCAATGCAGAGGCTTCAAAATATAGCTGTTGTGTCCTTAATAAGTTTGGCCGATAGTTTTGGATAATAATGAAATATGTTGGTACGGTTTTAAGGGTATTAACTTCAAGAAAACATTTTTTTAATTTCAAATTTGCAATGCTGTGAATCAAATTTGAAAAGTAAGGTGGTTGATTTAATAAGTTATGTTGAAAAAGTGTGATTTGTTTAATATCTTAAGTCAACTTTTTTCTTAAATTTCTTAGCTTTTAGTCGAAGAAAGTGATCGAAGAAGTATCATATCGAGTTCAGAATGATCCTGCTCTCCAGACAGAACTTGACCAGTTGAATGCCCTTAGTTTTCAATAGCTTTTTAGCTTGTAGTTTGTTTACAAAGTAGACGGAAAACTTGATGTGTACAGCAGTGTTTGAGAGGCTACTCAGTTTACTTGACTGAGTTTTAGCCAGTGCTTAATGAAAATTTTTAATTTCGCATAAAAACACGTGCATAATTGTGAGTCTGTACATTTAACACTTTTGCAGGTGGGAGACTTCCAATGACTTGGTACCCAGAATCATTCACCAAGGTCCCCATGAATGACATGAACATGCGAGCGGATCCTTCTCGTGGCTACCCAGGGAGAACCTACCGTTTCTACAATGGAGATCAAGTGTATGGATTTGGCCATGGCTTAAGCTACACCAACTACACTTACAGTCTCTTGTCAGCCCCTAGCAGGTTGAACTTGTTAGGATTTTCAACCACTCGAAAGAGAGTATTAGGAAGCCAACAAGGAGGGGGATATGTATTCGTCGAAGACATACCATCTTGTGATTCGCTCAAGTTCTACGTGGTAGCATCTGTAAGTAATGCTGGAGATGTGGATGGAAGCCATGTGCTGTTGCTGTTTGCTAGAGCTCCAGAAGTGGTTGGAGGGACTCCATTGAAACAACTCGTGGGCTTTGAACGCGTGAATACGTTTTCGGGTCGGTCAACCGAAGCAAGCATCTTGGTCAACCCTTGCAGACACCTCAGCATAGCAAATGAGGGAGGGAAAAGGGTGATGGCTCTGGGAAACCATGTCTTAATGCTTGGAGACTTGGAGCATACCGTTGCAATTGAAACTCATTAGCTCTATTTTCTTCAATTTCCATTCTGCCGGTGTATGATAATCTGGAAGAAGTATGTTTGTAACACGAAAACTCAAACGTAAATCCTTTTTCTTTGCCCTTATGCTTTTCTCCGGGTGATCAAGTTTGTGAGGAAGATTGTTGTTCACGGCAATTGTATTGATTTGTAAGTTGGTATCCTTACTTTAAGTTGGCTCTGCAATCCTAACTTGTGGTCGTCCGACTTTAAGTTCCATTGCTTCTAAAGTCGCTAAGTAAGTTCCACTGTTAGGACTTCAATCTTGTTCTTACTTGTTCATCATTTTGTGTTCACATCATTTTGTATTCACATGTGATGATGATATTTTGTTAGAAACACACTTTTGGGATTCTCTTATTAATTTTAGTACAATTATTATTATTGTAGTTAGATTTAGTCGAATTAAGATTATTATTATTAGGTTTTTCATATATTACTATAAATATATACTTGAGGTTGACGTTAGGGGTGGGCATTCGGTCGGTTCGGTTTCGACCAAACCGAAATTATGAATACCGGGTCCCTGAATTCTCCCAAACCTCAAACCGAATTCGTACCGAATAATAATTCGGTTCGGTCGGTTTAAACTGAACTATAATTCAGTTCGGTTCGGTTTTTCACACAAAACCGATTTTGTGAAGCTACTTGTATTTTCTCACTTTTAAATTATTTTTCACCCCTAATATAAACAATAAATATCAATTATATGCATCATCAATGATAAAACCAAACTTTTCAACACATAAGTCATAAAACATTTCAAATATTTAAGTCTAAAAACAACTACAAACATAAAAATCTACCATTTGGAGCTTGCAATTATAGTATTTTGGTTTTTCGATCAGAAATTCGGAATTCGGTTCGGTTGAAAGAACCCCGATTTCCGAACTATTCATATTTTTCTTCCGAATTCCGAACCGAATAGCATTAATTCGGTTTTGGTTCGTTTCGGGTTTACCGAACCGTTTGCCCACCCCTGGTTGACGTCATAATCAATCAAGTAAAATATTAAGAAAAGTATATAATCCTAATCTATCCCTCTAAATCTCGTCTAGCTTCCTCTCTAAAGGCCTCGGCCAACCTTTCTGTTCTTCCCCAAATCCTTATTCTAATCACTAATTTTTGTTCTCAATCCCTCAATCCTTTCTAATCTATTCGGTTGCGTCAAATTTAAGGAGCCTAATAAGAGGGTTTCTTACAGTGGTATTAGAGCCCGTTTGCAAGAATGAGTTTATCAAAACTCTCAACCATGGACTTCACCGAGTCTACGCGAAGGTGGAAGACCGATATGGACCGGCTGCTGGCGCAGCTACCGTCGATTGGGCCAGAGGACGATTGGTGGACGATGATGAGGACGATATAGACGAAAATGACGAGGCACCGGCGAAAGAGATGGCAAGTGATCTGTCGCAGCTTGAGATTCTGATGCGCGATCCCGAGCAGCCGAAGGTGGCAGACAACGACCGAGCTGAGGATATGGGTGTTTGAACGGAGTGTTACCGTGGTAACCGTTTTAACCTGTAGTATTTGGATAATTTGGTTTGGTTTATTTGGATAATTGGTTTAGTTTGGTTAAAAATTTTAGCTTGTTTCGTTTAGGTGGTTTGGTTTCGGACACTCCTAACCAATCAAACCAAATTAACCAGTTAAATAATTAGTAGTATGTCTATTATATTATATATACATACTTAATACTTTGCTTAAACTCTTCAGAGTCAAATATTTCTCCTTTTTAGGCCCATAAATGATAGGGTTAATACCCTAGTTTGGCCCGACTTTTCCAATAAGAGATTTATGGCCTACTTTTCAAAGTAATGGACAAATTTGTTCGGAAACTTGTGTTGACCGTTAAAATTGACGGTTAAAATTGACGGTCAAACATTCTTATCGTTAATGACTCAGCAAAATAATTATGTATTTAATGTTCTGAAAAAAATAAAAAATAAAAAGCAAAACAACTAATTAAAAAAAGCACCACAAAGTCAAAATCCCTACTTCTTCTCTCTTCACTCTCGGCAAAACCCACCCCGCCGCAAGCCCGCAACACCAACCCGTCCCCATTCGGCCGACACTCGATCTTTCTTAAGCATCTGTCGCCACCCTCCATCTTCCCTCCACCATCAACCTCCGCTGTTCAATCTCCCGTAGCCTAGACGATGCCGCCTTGCTCGTCGTCGTTTTCCATATCTACATCGTCGCCCTCGGAGCCATCGTCGTCAAGATCGATGCTATTCCTCGCGACCGCAACCCTTGCTCTGCTTTAATGCTCTCGATGCCACAGTTCCAGAGATCAACGTCATCCTCCATAGATACGTCCTCACGCCGTTGTTGTCTGTCACCATCGTCTCTCCGGCACAACATCAGTTTCCCCTGTATCAAATCGGCGGCCGCCAACCATCGGAGCCACCATCGGAGCCACGATGACCACCATTGCATCTGCTTCATCTCCCACTGCATAGTTTGACGATAACGCTGGTTGTCGGTAAGGAGAGGGAATCAGACATGGGGGGAATCGGAGGTGAGGTTGGATGTTGGAGGAAGGGAGTTGCGATGGAGGAATCGGAGGTGAGGTTAGAACTGCCACCTCAGCACTGGATGTTGACTCATTGACGGAATATATATTTGAAAGATAATATTAATAGTCAACACCAGTTTTGGGCCAAATTTGTCCATTACTTTAAAAAGTAGGCCCTAAATGTCTTATTTGAAAAGTCGGGCTACAACAACTGTCACATACGCCAAACTTCGGGCCAAACTAGGGTATTAACCCTAAATGATACAACTCAATGTTCCTGTAATTTAGCCGAGCATTCATAGTTGTAGAGTGTAGACTTAGGTAACCTAATTCGCCTATACTACCCCAACGCTCCCGCGCCAATTCGGCAAAACGCGGATTTTTAGCCGAGCATTCATAGTTCGCGAACTTTATGTAATCGGAGCGCAAATTTCAGATTTTAGAGCGCTGAGTTCAGACCGTCGTTATCTTTTGATGAAATTGGCATAGATGAAGCAAACAATTGCTCTCGCCAACGACCGTTGTCGGTGCTGTGCAGTTCGGCGATGACTCCGACAAGAGCAGGGATGCCGCTCCCTTCATTTTGATGTCGCCGTGGTCAAAGAACAGAGGTCGTCACCTGATTGGGAGGGCTTTAAAGAAAAGCTAAAAATTGACAGATGGAGAGAAGTTATGGACAAGAATTGAGGAGCCCCTGAGACGTAGAGGATTAATTGGAGATTTTTTAATTAAAGGCGACAGCGGAGGAAAGAGATTGTGAACGGAGAGATCGAGAACGAGGGCAGATGGCTGCGGCATCCAAGACAGGGGATGCGTAGATATTAAATATATATTTTTAAAGAGAAACTATTTCAATTTTTATGTATATGGTAATCTGTTTTATTATTATCATTATTATATAATAATATATTAATATGATAGCGGTATAGATTTTTCGACGAATATAATAATAATAGATTTGTGAGAAATGGGGAATAAATACCGCAATCAATTGACCTTGGTGTAAATTGATCAGGAAGTGTTTCTTTTATCTGGATATGCCTAAATCTCATAAAATTTAATTGGTTTGAGTTAATGGTAATAATATTATTTATATTTTATTTATTTATTGGAAAATAATCACTAAAATAATATTTTATTGACGCTCTATTCACGCTCTTAATATTAAATTATAGTAAAATTGACGCTCTGACACTCGCGCTCCCGCTTTCGCTCCAAGTTTTGGTTACTTAAGTGTAGTCCACCACATATGGATGCCTAATTCAGATAAAACCCATACATTATGTTGGATTAAATCTTGAAAAGAATATATGAAGGGATAAAACATGTAAAATTAGCCTCTAACCAATCACGACAAACTCGTTCCTTCTGGACAATTTTTTTATAATTCGACTTAAAAACAAAGGTGGTACAAGGGTTATAACGAAGAACCAAGTTATAACGAAGAAGATAAAAGGCGATTAAGAAAATATGGAAAACAAAAAAAAAATTAATGATTAATATCTAGTTAGAAACCAATGATTTATCTACACAATAAATAAAAGCCAAATGAGAAAACTTGAAGCTTAATTTCAAATTTCCTGCACCCAGAATAAAAGTAGGGAGGACATTTTGGTCTTCACAATTACTTTTATTTATTCATTAAAAAGACACTTACTAGGATTCGAACCATGACCACTAAAAAAACAAATATCATAATCAATCACACTAAGTACATTTATTGTATCTTTTTAAATTAAAAACATATAATTGCAGAGAGGAAAAAACCCTTCCTCCATTTCAAATTCGATGCTCCAGGAGCGTTTGTAGGAAGGGTAGAATAAGGAGTGTCAATTTTTTTCTTTTACCTCTGTGGAACGGGCCAACTTACCGTACACATGCGGATTTAAACGGGTCCAGGAGTGTGAATTTTTTTCTTTAAGTCCTTTTATTTCTCCGTGGTGGTAAAATATATATGAAAAGACAAAAATAATACTCCTTTTTAATGCTAAAAAGAAAAAAATTAACAATAAACTAATGCATGGATTCTAATGGGCTAACTGCTAATCATAAAATAAAAGAGTTGAATAGGCCTGACCTACACGAGATTTGCCCATCAAGTAAAACAAATGAACATCATGGGTTTGCCATTTTAAAATAAACTATTTTCTCTAGCATAATATATATTATGCTATTATTTTATATCTTAGTGGCTAAAATATAATGTATTTTAAAGTTATTCAATGGTTCAACCTCGACCAACCCAATTAGTACAATTTTTATCATTTCAAATATATATTAAGTAATTATTTGATATCATAATGATTAAATTATAGTGTATATTATAGGGAATCGTTTGGTATTTGTTAGTAAAAAACTAAACAATAAGATCTATTTGGTTATTTTTAACATTAAAACGATCCTAAACATTTTCAATTTCCTTTCGAAATTCTATAGTTTTATTCCCGAATTAGTGATGTGCAAATGGCGAATTGCAGTCATATCTTTTCTTTCATTATAATAGAAAGTTTAAAAGTAAAGAATAATTAGAGGTTGGCATGGGTCGGTCAAACAGGCTGAATTTCAAGTTTTGGCCTGTTTTGATCAAGTCTAATTTATAATCACATGGTTCCCTGATACCTGATAAAAATCTCAATCCAAACCAGTTTGGCAGGTGAGTCCGTGTTTACCACCATTTTCTAGGGATACAGGAACGGTGGTTCTTATCCCAAATTGTTGTTCATTCCTGATACCCGATAAAAATCTCAATCCAAACCAGTTTGGCAGGTGAGTCCGTGTTTACCACCATTTTCTAGGGATACAGGAACGGTGGTTCTTATCCCAAATTGTGTTGTTCATTCTTGATTTCTTTAGATTTTATCATGGCTTTGTAAAAAGCCAGAAAACACAATGATGACAAGATGAAAGTTTTATAAAGCAAATTAATCGGCCAACGAGCCGAGTAAAAGCTAGCAACGATTGTGAGATGCTCATTTCCCGAAAACCGGCGGTTATAGGCGATTTTTTATTCGATTTTCTGGAATTATGTTTCGATAAAACTTACTCCACCTCATCATATTACCAGAAACAATATTGTTTCACAATGTAACAGGTACTTGATTTTGGTTCATAAGGCTGATTTTTGATTCGTTGTATCATTCGTGTCTCTTTCCTACTAAAAGTCACTATTTTTATCACGTGTTTCAAAAAAAACTATACAACAAAAAACTATACACCACATTACATTATCAAATTTCATACCTCACCTTCCTCCGGCAAAATGGCCGGGGCCCACGCTAGTATCTAGTTATGCAAGTGTGTATACCAATCAACCATGTCGTTACTACCGTGCTTATAGATTTTGTTATACTGTTGCTAGTACTCTTATTTACACTTTAAGATTTTAAGGCTAGACGTTATTTTTTAAATATTTTTTGAAATTTTTTGGTTTAGAATATTCTATTTTAAATCTAACAAAACGGATATCAATCTTTTATAACATGTTTTTCAATATAAAAGTCGATAATATTCACATGATTTAGTTTAAATATTCATACCACATATTTCAGATATTTATTTGAGAGAATATTGGTATTCATATTGTGGAATATTTCAACCATATTATTTGAATACTGGAATTACGTTATAGGAATATTATCAACTTCTATATTGAAAAATGTATAAAAAATATCGATATTTGTCTTATTAGATCGGAAAAATATTACAAACAATGTTAGTTCACGAAAATATTCTAAAAATAAAATTTACTAACTTTGAAATCACAAAACAATAGTATTAACACACAGTGGCGGAGGCAGGGCCTTTTGGCCTTGTCCCGGGACAAGGGTAAATTTCGGTGGAACAAAAATACGCCATATATATTTATATTGGTGACGGAACACAACACGTACAGGTAGTATTAGAGTACTTTGTCACTACAACACAACTCATTACTTGTCCAAAATTGACATAAAATTAATTTATTATATAATAAACAAAATTCCAATTGCAATAAAGAACTAATTTGGTCTCTTTTCTTCTTATGTCTATTCGATCTTTTCCCAACAACCCTGAAATTGCCTAGCGACAACGGCAAGCCCACTAGTTTTGATCTACCAATTTCAACTGCAAGTGTAAAAAGAGCATTTTCAGCTTTGAGTTATATTAAGAACAAGTTTCCAAGTCGATTTGGCGACCAGTTTGCTAATACTTGTTTAGTAAGATACATTGAAAAAGACTTATATAATAGTGTAGACAACGAATGTTTTTTTGCGCTTCTTTCACTACATGAAATTCCTTCGTAGTTGTTTCTGAAAAGTATGATAGTATAATCGATTATTTTTAATTTATGAATGAAATATTTGGATATAATTATTTTTTTATTAAATAATTTTTTTATTAAATACTTATATATTTAAGTTATGAAAAGAGGACATGAGTGTTTTGAAATGCTGCCTCCGCCACTGTTAATACATCCTATAAATTTTGGGTGTTAACAACGCAACCACATAATCATTACTCAGCCTTTGCGTTATGGTAAGTTGCAACTACTGCATTAGCTAGGCACACGTACCTCTACTTACTTTAGTGATAGTATAGTGATAGTAATGGTGATATAATTAAAATTAAGAGTAAATTGACAAACGTGTACTAGTTCATTCCATCAACAGTATAATTTATAGTTGAAAAGTAAAACTGCAACCCATTTAAAATTTCCTGCCCCATAGAGTGATTTTAGGAAGCTGATGTGGCAGAGTGTTAAGCGGGAAAAAAAGAGTCCCACCTGATTTCAGAACAAAAAAACTCTCCACTACCCACTTTTTTCTCCTTCCAGGCCCACGTTTTCATTTAATTTGTATAAAAAACTCTCCACTACCCACTTTTTTCTCCTTCCAGGCCCACGTTCTCATTTAATTTGTATTTTTTATTTCCGATTTCCCTTCCTTCCACTCTTTCACCTCATTCGAATAAGTTTCTTGGCCTTCAGAAAACCAAACCTTGACTCAATCATCTGGTTCTTTTATGTGCTTGCATCTACCTTTGATTTCCGTTCTCTAAGCGTTAGATCGGTATTGGTTTTGCCGTAAGTTATTCTTCCTCTTTCAGATTTCTGTTTGTTGTTGTCGCTGCTTTTAAGTTTTAGGGATTCGGGTTCTGGGTTTTTTTTTCAGGGATTCGGTTGCAAAGATTCATCTCCCTTACCTTTGGTTCATTCCGTTTTCTTTATTCTCTCTTACCTTCCTTGCTTCATTCTGTTGATTGGATTCTCTAGAGATCAAAAGGGGATTTTTGATTTTTCCCTTTCTCTTGAAAGTAACAAAGCTGCTTACTTTAAATTCCACTTCGCTTAGACTGTCTTCCAGAGAGCAGCCGACTGCCGATTTTGAGCTGAGTTTTTCCGGGCCGCAGAGAAAGAAGAGGAAAGAAAGAGACGTTCGGCGGCGGCAGCCAGGTACTTCGTCCGGGTCGTTTTCCGGGTCAGTAAACCGAAGGGCCGCTATAAACTACCGCTGGCCTGGCGGGGGAAAAGGAAAGCGTAAACCATAAGGCCTCGGGGATCCATTTCTCTCGCCAGCCCATACTTTAGAGGCCCAGCCTACTTGAGTCCAGAACCAGCCCATCGCCGACGAAATTTGGCGCGCCGTCCCCCACCCGCCACCCATGGTAAAGGAAACCGTACCGGACATCATACCGGATTTCTTTCTGGTATGGTATTTTGTGGTACGACCGTGGTTCAACCGTTTTGTACCGGTAAATACCGTTTTTCACTATTGATAGAGAAATGAAATGCGATAGTATAAAAAATATAATCCATAAAAAAAAGA